CTGCTTCTCGCACTCGTAAATCATTGTTGTGGCCCTTTGTGGGTACTGCATATATAATCTATATTCTCCCCCTTCAATTTATGTTACTCGATAAATTACTGACAACAATTTATGTACGAATAAGTTAAAAATAAAAACAATTTATGTATGAACGTACATACATATATATATATATAATATAAGCTATTGTTCTTTCTTTTTTTGTCGGAAAAATAGGAGGTATAAGCTTTGGTGAAAGCAAGAAAAAAAACTTATTGGTATCTGACAAATGGTAATTAAATTCTGAAAATCAACTGCACAATAAGCTACACACTTCTTCTTGATTACCTTTAACTTTTTCTTTTGACTTGAGTTATAACTAATTTTTTTTTTGGAAATAGGAGATATTATATGTAAATTCCTATCGGTGCATCCTCTGTTTTGATAAACATCATAACAGATGTTGATGTTTGTAATCTTTAACTTTAGAATCCAATATAAACAACAGATGACAAAAAAAGCTACATTCTTCTTTTCAAATAAACCACTTCTTTTTACAACTAAATAAACTACTTGTTACGGTCTATTATTATGAAGAAGTGGTATATTTTGAAACCAAAAATGAAGCAGTAGTATCTATTTTTCATTTTTTAATTAACTATACATATTTTATTTGTATATATATAATATGAAAGTATCTCTTAATCAAATCCTCATTCTCAGATCTTGGATTTCAATTTGACATACATAAAACATATCATTTTGTGTAGATGGAGACAAAAAGGAAAATCGGAGATTAGTTGAAAATAATTTGAGATAAAATCATATTATGGACCACAATCTTTTATTTTTCTATTAAACTTGGTGTAGGTATTCATATATGATGGATATAACATAATATCCATTGTTAGATACAGTCAATTAAGGAGTTTATAATAAGACAGAACTTGGACTCACTGAATTTTATATTCAACGCTATACGACAGACATACTCTGTCGTGAATCATACATACATAGCATACACATGCTAACATGCATATATACATGCGAGACCAAGATGCAAGTTCACATCTGTGTGCGTGTGCAAGTTGTTTCACGGTCGATGAGAAAATTAATTACCGAATCTAATTAATGATCATATAGAAATTTGAAACCCACATGCGAGGCTTGTTGACCAATATACATTACTAAAGTTACTTTATCCTCATTGAAACATATTTCCAAGTTCCAACTATAAATAATTCTTTGAACTCCAACTTTTTTTGTACTGAAACTTTTCATAAATATAATTAGCCATTAGCCAAAAATATCATTGAATAGTACGTCCTTCATATTATTTCAATGCCTTATTAATGACAGGGTTTGAAAAATTGGTGTGTCGAGTATTAAATGAGCATCCAACAAAACAGTCGTATTCACCAAACAATCAAACGTCGTGAGATGTTTAGACTAAAGAGAATATTTGTGCTCCATCACTAACTGTCGTGTGAATGATGAATTGATCAATTAGCAAAAAAAAAAAATGATGAATTGATGATCACTCCCTTCGTTCAATATATAGTATAGTCTGAGCTGATAATGGAAGGGTTAATATAATAACGTAAGCTAGGCATCGAGATCCACGCAAATACACATAGACCAACTCATTGATTTACGTGTATATATATTCAAAGAAAATCATCGACCAGAATTAGTTTATACTTTGTAATAAGTGAATTCATTGATCAGTTCTTGTTAAGGCTGAGATCCCACATTATGCAATTCTGAATTTATGAGAGACATAATTCACCAACTCCGCCTATATTGATTAACTTTTCTTACTATTTATAGAAAGTATATGAAGAACAAAAGAACATAACCCTTCAAAATGATCAAATTAGTGTCCCCAATTTAAACTAACAAACACTAGAGCGTAGAGAGAAACCATGTGTTGCATCCAACGATCATGTGAGGACAGTGTATATATAGGAACAACATGTGTGGACCAAATTAATATGCATTATGTGACATCAGTATTTTTTATTTTAGTTCTAAAATTTGTTAGCAACTTGTTGAGGTCAATTAATAATTATATGGGACTCAATTATTAATCATTCTTCTTCACAATAGATTTCCGTGAATAATGACATAATCTTAGTTTGTTTGGTATTATATACTGTTGTTGTTGATTATCGCAGTTCTTGCAGAGACGTATCTCACTGTACTGTTTCTTTCTGTTTTCATATATAAAAAAAATAGAAAAAATAATGAGGAAGAAGCCACGACATCTAGGGTATTATGTCCCCGTACACATGTTCCAAATTTTGGGATTTTCCTTCGTTCCTTTACAAAAAGGGCACAATTGATGTAAGAGTAATATTTATTTACGTAATCATATTAGTATATTACACATGTGATTTCTTCTCTTTTAGAAATTTTTAGTGATGGAAGTGTATGCGATATTCGGTGATTCTTGGAATATTTGGAAAACTAAACTTTTTGGACCTGTTAATATTTATGCAAAATACTTAAAACGAGAGGATGTGAGGGTTTTTTTCTGATTTTTGATGTGATTATTAATCATTTCTAAAAATACAAAGGTTGTACAAAAATACAAAGTTGAAACGGCCATTTTAGAAAGTAGAGCACGTTGGGGAAAGATTAGTGTATATATATATATATTGTGATTAGTTGCCAATTTGACAAATATATCTTGATTGTTAAATTTTCACATGTGATCCAACTATTTATTCTATCTCACTAGCAACACAACTCCAACTCGTCCTGAACATCTATACTAATTAAGATATTAGTTTTCAAAATTACCTTTGGTTATCCATATATCGTCCCCGAAATTAAAGAAACTCTAAATTCTGTATGATGATAGTTTTTATAAAAAATTATGCAATTCTGAATTTATGAGAGAGCTAATGATGATAGTTTTAAAAAGTGGGTCATCTAAAGCATATTTCATGAAATTTCTTATAAATGAAACTACATTTTATATTACCATCACTTAATATTATATGTGTTTTGCAGTACAACTCTATCATTGTGGGGTTAAATTTCCTCATAGTGGAAAACATGCAATTACGAGATGAGATGTAATCTGTTCGAAGATATGACAGGTTAGTAAAAAAATTATTTTGTATGGCTCGCCAATTCAGTTATTTGGGAGATAACGCATTTAGAAGAAATCAATTCAGTTGTTCTGCTGTAGCTGGCTCAACATATACAATTAAAAATAGGTATTAAAAACCTATTTAAATTTTGTGCTCTAGTGAACTCGAGCTCTGCTGACTGTAAAAATAGAATTATCTTACGTTAAAATTTGTAAAATGAGTGAATAGTACATGAAATGATGAAAGTCCCCCTCGCAAACGTGGTTTGTCCCAAAAGTCTTGTAATTATGAGTTTTGCCCCAAGGCCTTCATTACCTTCAGAGACATGATAGCTTTTTCTTTTCTTTCTCTGCATCTCTAATTTTACATTTAAATGTTTCTAATAAATTTATAATACCTATAAGTTTTTTTTTTTTTTTGCAAAAAGGATTTTCAGTAATACCTATAAGTTAATCAATAAATAAAGAAGAACCGTGAGATAATTCCTTTTTTATACATTGTTAAATGATATCTCATGTAATAGTATGTCGTTATTGACATGTATAGTCTTACGTGTTGCTTCCAAATATGTCAAAAAAATACATGCCAATAGATGTATGTACGTAAATGAAAATGAAATGTAAATCATGTGATGTCAGTCGATGCATCATAGTCAATAGTAGTACAACATTAATGTGGCTTGTTATGTTTCTTAGTTTGTTCTGTGTATGTAATGTATATATAAATGGGCTTCAAACTAATTAGCTGGATCTCTGTTCCTCCTATGGCTAATACCCTACCACCACACAAGTCTATTGCCTTGCCACTTTCATAGCAAAACAAAAAAAAAAGAGTTTATTGCCTTGCTGCCACTTTATTTGTTGTGATCATGTTTTCATCTTCTAAAGTATTTGTAATAATAAAAAAAGTTTTAACTCATGCAAGTCCGTCCTTTTTAGTAGTGGGAGATAAAATGGTACAAGCCTTTATTTTGGTCCGTTTTTCCATAATTGCGAATATATGTGTGCATATTCAAAAGGTAATTTATTCCAATACGAAGTGTTAAAAATTTTATGTAAATGGTCCTGAATGATTCAATGTTTTATTTTTGTGCAAGTTTTACTTTTAAGCAATCAGAAGGGACCAAAATATATGCGTCAAGGCCAGGCCAAGCCGCGTGACCAAGAAATTAAAGGACCACGCCAAGCCGTAATCTGTTAGATTATGGTGCAAGTCTTTATTTTGGTCTTCATTTCATAATTGCTAACATATGAGTATCTTATATATAAAAATTGCATCTTTGCAATGTACATGGTGTAAAATACTTTCAAAAATTTTAAAATGGTCACCATGTTTTCGTTTTAAAAATTATATTCTCTTAAAACTATTTTTTCTGGATATAGTTCACTACTCAGCAATTTTTATATATTTTCATTCACTTTGAATTGACACTTTATTGCATAAAAATCAGTTTTCCAAAATTTATTTTGAGTTATATTTTAGTGATTGATTATCGTTTTATATCCTAAGAAATTGTTGAAATGCAAAAATTTACATTAATCTAAATTAATTACGAATAAAACCCCACACCTAGTGCTTATAATCCGTGCATAGTAAAAAAATATGTAAGCTGAATTCATTTAAACTGAGTGTTAAATTTTTATATAAATGTTTGTGAAGGATTCTAGAAGATATGAATAAGTAAAAAAAAATATATATATATTGATTTGTGTTGTATAAGTTGCTTTTTAAAAGGGAATATAGTAGCCCAAGCCGAAATACATATGGGCTTACTGATACGGGCCTTTTCAACACAAATTTTTCCATTGTATTTCGTTTTTTCTTCTTCGATGCAGCAGAGGAATAAGTCCATTCAGTGATTAGTGATCAATGCTGAGAAGTTTTCCGTTTTCGTATGCACGCACTCACAAAGCAATAAGGTCATTCTTAATTTGAACATCAATTAGACGAATAAAGGAGATTCAAATGTTGTTTACAGATTTATTGTTTGAGCTTTCGAAACAAAAGCAGCAAAGCCAAAGTTTGAGTAAGAAAAGAATCAAAAGAAGTTGAGATCAGAATCAACATGAGAGAAAGAAGAAGAGATGAGGTCAAAGGTTTTTTGAGAAAGAAAAGAAAAAAAGAAGAAGAAGCAAATCTCAAAAGAGTTCTTCATCTTAAGAGAAGGCATAAGCAGGAGTGGTCTTGAAATCGAGCTCCCAGAGATCAAATGTTCCTTTGACGAAATTGTAGTGAGCTCCTCTGATTGCAAGTGTGTTCTTCACCACCGCAGCTCTCACGAACGGGTAAGAAAGCAAGTTTCCAAGCGACACATTCACAGCCTCCTGCAGGAGACAAGAGATTTTTCAAACATCTCTTTCTTGTCAACATTCAGACACAACATAAATAAACAGAGAAAGTATTGTTTTGTTTTTGTTATTACCTTCTCACACTTGTCGCACTGATCGTCGGAGCTTAAGTCTTTATGTTCTTCCTTGATCTTGTTCCTCGCTGCTGCGCCTATCTTCACCCAGTTTTCAATGAAATCACTGTCATTTTAAAAAGATTTTTTTTCGTTGCGTTAGAGATCAATCACAAAAGAAACTATATTGCCATTTCAAAATACCCCACAAGAAAGTCACGTAATCCACAAAAACAGACCAACCCTTTCTCTTGCGCTACTATTTTGGTATAGCCAAGGTAATTACAAAACCTATTAGCTTTTAATTACCTCTGAGTTGGTGCAGCATCATTTTCAATGGACATGAGTCCCTTAATCCCACCGCAACGGCTATGGCCTATCACCAGAATATTCTCCACCTACAAAAAAGGACAATATTAAAATACTGTTTGACTGTGAATAAAAGTGGTTGCAACTTGATGGATTAGACCCATTTCTACATTATCCAAAAAGGGTTAAGCTTTTATTTATTTTTCTAAAGATAATAGTGGGATGCGAGTCCTAGTGGCAAAAAGATGCAATGGAGACAAATGCTACAAACACTGTGACTAGACATCAACTTATCATAAGGGCCATGTGCAATATGGGCAGAATCAAAAGAGCCAGACTTTGGTTTTGATTACTGATTAGAAGATAAGCAAGTTTTCTTATATAATTAAATCAAAGCGCATATCCTTAAAAGAGGGCTCATATCTATATTATAATACCTTGAGATGTACAACTGCGTATTCAACGGCGGCACCAACTCCAGAATGTCTCTTCTGAAAACATATCAAAGAAGCCAATACTATATTATATATGTGAAAGCTTTTTGTGTGTTAGTTGAGTTGAAATGAGTTTTGTTATTGAACCTGGTCAAAAGGTGGAACCATGTTTGCAATGTTTCTAACAACAAAGGCCTCTCCAGGTTGGAAATTCAAGATGTGAGATGGGCATACTCGCGAATCCGAACAAGCGAATACGAGAAACTGCAAAATCAAATAGTTTTCAATATCTTTCCATATATTTCATTGTTTTACACTTCAGTTTCGAAAACGGTCCCTCCCTCAGTTTCTAAAATTGTTTTGTTTACTTTATTCATAAAGTCAAATATCACCGTTGGATTAAAGTTTTCACACCCCATTTTTCCATATTATTAATGAACCCAACTTGGTCAAAAAAAGAAAAAGTAAACGAAACGAGTAAATGAACAGAGAGATAAGAGATTTGGAAAAGTTTAAACCTTTGGACTCTGACCCTTGGCGAGATCACTGAACAGAGCATCATTTTTCCTGGAAAAATTTATAAAGCCAAATCAGGAACAGAGCATACAGAATTACATTAAAACACCTTTTTATTTTCTGTTATTGCATATACTAAATTGGATCACATTTTACACCCTTTCAGATTCTAAACACGATCTGACTAACTTAATTAGATTTTAAGCACCTTTTAATAACTTTTTAAGCAATATCCGATAAATGATGTTACTAACAGTGGGAAAAAAAAACCGTAATACGTAGATAAAGGTAGATTTATCATTAATAGGTGCTTTTCTAAAAGCAGAAGATATGGAACATCGATGATTCCGTTCCAGCGTCACGAATTTCTTTCCGATCAGAACAACATTAATCAATTAATTATTTTCCTTAAAAAGTAGAGAGAAAATTTGAGTAATTAAAAAAAAAAAAAAACTCACAAGTATTTCTCAGTTTTGAATTGGGTAAAACCGGATTTGATACGTTCAACGGCGTCAGAGTTGCTGGAAGCAAGCTCCTTCAGCTCCACCGTCAACTCTTTGATCTTCTCGGCGGCGACATTTCCGAGATCTGTTTTCTTACTGCCAGAAAAATTAAAAAAAAAAACACAAAAATTTAGAGAAAAAAAGCCAGGGGTAAAAACGGAAACAAGGAAAACAGGTAAGCTGGGACCCAGTGATCGACGGCTACGATCAGTCCTACGCATACGGAATACGAAAGATCCAAAAAAACGCGGAAATCAAAAAGCAAAAACGCAGTTTATTTCCGATTCAACGATCAGTTTTGCTATGATTGTGGGGAAAACAGTTTCAGAGATTATTAGTCAACGATGATGGACTCGTGAATTGGAGGGAGAAAAAGTTCTGATCGGAGAAGATGAATATGCCGACACTTTTATCTAATGATTGTCCTTGAAGCAGAGAAAGAGGTCAGAGAGAGAATGTCGTACCTGAGAAGATCCGTAAGTCCTTTAATGGCGGCTTCGTACGAGTCCGTGGCCATTTCGTCTCCTTCCTAATTTATATAATAAAAAAAAAACAATTTAATCGGATCAAATTCCAGCAAAATCGGAGTAATCAACGAAAATCGAAACGAAGAAATGATTAAACGATCACGATGATTATGAGCTTTGGGAATCTGAGGACAGACCTTGTAGGGTTGTTAGGTTCAAAAGCAGAGGATGTTTCTCGAGATTATTACTTAATGGAGGAATGTGAAATCACTTAATGCAGCAAAGATGCTTTGTGATGAAACCGGTATTTATAGACCCGAGATCTATATTGCCATTTGGTTCTAACTCTTACTACATTTTTTTTTGTTTTTTTTAAATGGTTCCAACTTGGAAATTATACTCCACAAAAATGGGAAGATTAATAATTTAGAATTACTTTTTTGGGACGGTGACTTTATAAAACAAAAGTCTGGGGGTATAATTATGATTTCCGAATAATATATAGGTTGTGCTATGAGACTACAGACAATATTCTTTATTCATTTATACATTATTTAAAAAACTTCTCATACTTGTGAGTTACAAACTGGATACTAGTGAGATTTCCACATAATCTTTCTACCTCATTTCACTACAATATTTCTTTATAAAATCAAGTTTCATTTCAGTGTTTTTCTCTTCCCATGTTCCTTATTTCATCTTGGGTAAAGTTTTGTGTTAGGTACCATTATTCTGATTACAACCATAATTAAAATTATTCATTTTTGTTTTGTGTACATCCTTTTTTCCATACAAATACCAATCCAAGTTGTCACGCAGAAACATGTACAAGCATCAAAATTAATACTAGTTTAAAGCTTATGAGTCTCATCAGGAAATAATTTCAGCGTGATATAGTAGTCAAGAAACATCCTCTGCTTTTGTTTTAGGAAACTATGTTCCCCAATCATATCATCATTTTAAATTTAGTAAAACACGTTGTTATCATGTAGTTATCGACCAGTATTTAGGATTTTTTCACCTGTGCACATTTTTTAAGTTTGCCGTACCTTAATATTGATTTATTTTGCACAGTCGATTGTACTGTATCTTAACTAAGGATAAATGTTGCAACATTACGAACCTAATCCTAAATCGTGGCCAATTTCATATATCATAAACAGTAATCTTGTCCCAATTGAGAACAATCTATTTAACACTTTCTTTTATTTTATCTGTGACCAAAGGTTTTCAAATAGTTACACTTTTTGTGGATATTTTTAATAAGTCAATTTTGAATAATTTTGATTACTTTTAGAATCTGTTGGGCTTTACCGTTTAAGAAATTTACTCGGCTAAAGAAACGTATTCTGTGAGTTTATAGTGAAATATGATAGAAATTTGAAAACCTACGTTGAATCCCTCCGAATGTAATGATTGTGTATAATACACAAATCTAGTTGTTAGTTCTATTTTCATTTTTTGAGCAAATTTTGATATAGTTATGCCTATTTATTTTGACTATTAAAATGTTTTCGACTTGAAGTAAACTTAAAAGTTAAGAAGCAGGGGAAAAAGGCAAATGGTCAATTTTTTTTTGTTCGTGTTCGTTAAAGCAAAAAGTGTCTTCGTCTTTTCCGATGGGCGGGTGGCCAATGGCCGTAGCAAGAGAAGTCAACGGAGGCAAGCTTATAGGCCAACACGCGTCATGTTTTAACGGTTTAACCGCAGTTGCCAGCTGGCAATAACGCGTCAGCATTTTGCAATACTATTGTTAGTTTTAGCCTTTGGGTCAATTTATGTCAGTGTGTCTAGAAAAACGCTTCAAAACATGCCCGACCCTTCTTAATAAAAAAAAAAAACAAAGCAATTTCTAAATAAGACGACTAAGTTTTTTCAAAATTCGGAACAATCGACTTTGCATTGCATAGATAAATCATAAATGGAACTTCTAAAATAGCACTAGAGACTAATTAGATCAATTAGTTTGTCTCATGAAAATATTAACTGTACTCAATTTTTTATTTTTATTTTAACTTGAAAATGTGTTGCTCGGACTTACCGGAGAGGTCTTGGCGCAGCAGAACATGAAACATTTGCCGAATGTGGGAGCCATTAAAGCTGATCTCTTTGAGCTTCTCCTAGCGATCTGTCAAGTCAAAACAACTTATTGTTAAATAAATTAAAGAAACGTTCCATTGTATTATTAACTACATTATTGATTACTCGCGTCGGCATTCATTTTATTTATTTATAATGTTTATTATAATTTGCATTGAAACTATGCGATGGCCGAAACTCTAATATTAAAATAGACAGATGATCCATAGTTCCATACCTTCTCTCGACTTTTTAGTTCCATCTCTATATTAAAATGTATACATATTTGCAAGCTTTTCTAATTGGCTTAATATGCTAAAGAACATCAAGCTGGCTTTTCATTAGGACCGAAGGGTCCTTAAGTCAATTTTGTTATCATTTTCATTTCTATGAATGATTAAAAAATAAACTATTCTATTAAATCCTATTTTAAGTTACAATCCACTGTTCGAGCCACAAAAAAAAGTTACAATCCCCTTTGGGGACACACAAATGGTCAACTAGAGTTCTTAATCCCCAACAAACATCATCTATAGATGTTTTTAGTTTTTCAAACATATTAAAACAGAGTCAATGAGGAATTGGTAATCGCTTATAACATTAAACTAAAGAAAGATAAAAGTGAGAAATAATATACCTAAGGGTTAAGGGATGAAGGTGAAGGACTTGGTAATGCTCTTTATTGGCCAATTGATAGCTCCTCGAAAACCTCTACGGGCGAAGACGATAAGTGCAAAAATTTTTGGGAATTGAATTTTAAAAAATAAGTCACCGAAAAACCGTTATTTATATATTTATTTCAGTGGATATGGACATATGGGTTTGGATTTTCGATGTTTTAAGGAATTATGACGACCATTCGAGCAATGTGGGGGCACTCCGTAATGGGATAGAGAAAGGGAGAGGTGAGTGAAGCAGGGCTTCTTCTTTCATTTACTTTACTTTATTTGTTTATCAATTTATCTAGTCAAAAAATTACAATTAAAATTAAATATATATATATGATCTTGCATATACAATCAGTGATATTTGATCTATTATAAAGGTGCTAAATTAATTATAGAATATAATCTCATAATATTTTTCCAAATTTTATTCTACCACACTTATTTGTTTCCTGTTATTTATTTAAAATTTAGTAAATATGTAAATAATCTTCAAAATGAATAGTTCACTATTTTAAGAAAATTAAACATTTCAAATCAAAATTCTATTTCATTATTTTTTAAACAAATCTATAAATTATAATGGAGGGCTTGGACCTTACATTCATCTGATGGATCATTAGATTTACAATAACCAAACAGGGGGAAAATCTGTGACATTACAAAGTTTTCTCAACCAGTGATGAACTGTAATGGGTCCACCTACAAACAAATAAACAAATCTATTTCTTTAATGGTGTTAGACTGTTAGTCAGCATGAGACCAGAGTCCAGGCCCATGAGAGCCTTGGTAAGATGTTTAAATGGTTAGATTTGTTGAGTTTAACCTGTTAACCAGAGGCCTCTGCCTCTACTATGTTCATGGGCCTTTGTTCATATAAGCCTATTTGAAACTATAGTTTGCACATGGTCGTCTATACAAACAATACATTTAGAGTTTGGTGTGTTAAGTGTAATGTGTTGTCACTTGTCACTATCAATGAATGGATTTGGTTGTACTTGGAAGATATTATCTACTCCAAGAATTAAAACTGTCGGTAAACAGAATAGATTTGAAGAATTAAAATTGTAAAACTAAGCTATCAAAATAAGTGTGACTGCCTGGATAGCTCTATGCAAAAGTAATTTGTAGCCATCTCTAGGATTTTTTTTTTAAAAAACATTTTGTCGAAGTGATTACTTATTTCTCGTAACTTATCATTTGTTTATTGGTTTTGGACACTTGTGGGTCAGTGGTGGATGAAACTCGCACCATAATACCATATGATTCATTTTCCAAGGGTTCTAAGTTCCAAACTGTAAATGATGTAAAATTGTTGCAGAATTAATACGTAAAAGAAACGGAAAATGACTTCACTACATCAGTAATAAAGATATCCCTTAACCCACGAGAGAAGAATAAATGCAATACTATTGCGAAATCAGTTAGGTGAAATATATCATACATTTAAGTTCCCAAGGAAAGATACATCATTCATGTAAAAAAAAATGGAAATTTAACTGGTATTAGAGTCTAGACTCTAGACGATTGCAGAGATAAGTATATACTGGTAACTTCATATTGCAGCAGTATAAAATTTACCGCTCTAGTATTAATGAAATGATACTTCATCCTTTAGAAATAAGAACACATAATCAAATGATACAATCAATCGTACAAGTGATTTCGAAAGTTAATAAGAAAGTTTTAAACTTTACTTACAAAAAGAAAGGTTATATAAATACAGACCAAAGGTAAACAAAAAAGTTAGATATACTGTACATATAAAGGCAAAGCTTTTGTCGGGAAGAAACAAATTAACCATTTTTTTATAAAATTAATTTATATTAGCAGAAGAAAGTTAAATCAGAAAGGATGAACATTCCTTGTAAGACCATTGACATTGGTGAAGAATCCGACATGTTTGTAGGGAAGATACGATTTACGTTTTCCTTCTTCTCTAATCGCTCTGTTCCTCATGTACAGCCTCTCGTGAGCCGATTTCGATTTCATCTTCTTCTCCAATTTCGTTTTCTCTTTCCCTTTCTCCGTTCTCTTACCGCCGGCCAATTTCGTCGCCGCCGGAGAAGACGACGAAGACTGGTTCTTGTCGACGGCGTCTCTGTGGCTCAGGAACACAAACGCGTCTTTACCGTCGCTGTTGCTTCTCAAAACGAGATCTCTAAACCTCCATAGCTTCGAAAACCCTGTGGAGTTGCTTTTCCGGCAAGTCTCCGGCGAAGCTTCCTCCACCGCTCTACCTGACCACGAGCAGTACGGTCCCATCGGCTCCGATTCTTCTTCCGCCGTCGCGGCTTCCTCGCTTTCCACGTAGAGCTTCTTGAGAGGCGAACGGAGAGATTTTTCCTCTGGTTCGAAGAGGAGATTCCGGTTAAAGAGAGGGTAAACCGGTCGGATCTGACCGTCTTCAAACGCTTCCTCTGCGGTTATCGGTGAATTCTCTGCGTTTACACTCGCGAACGAGAATTCATCTCCTTCTTCTTCTTCTTCATCGGACTCTTCGTGATTCCGCCACGATTTCTTCAGATTTCTATGTCTGTTTTTCTCTTCTTCTTCTTTTTCTTCTTTCTGTCTAAAACCGACTTTCAATTTGGAGCTAAAATCGTCACTCAATTTTCCGTAAACCTCGGCGAATCTCTCTTTTCCGGCGAAATCCGGCGCCGGAGACGAAGGAGAAACAACTTGCATCTTTTATCAATTTAGATCTCCACACATACACACACACACACAAAATTTCTCTATTTCAATGACGAAAAAAAAATGAAATAGAGAGAGAGAGAGAGAGAATTGAAGAGGTTTGATAAAAATAGAGGAAGCTTTGCTCTCTTTTATATATGGTTGGATATTTTAGATTCCCAATTCTCAACACCTCTCTTTTTTTTTTCTTCCTATTTTTATTTAATTTTCTTTCTTGATGATATAAATAAAAGTGTTTAAACTTAAAATAATTGCCAAACATTGTCGTTTATTTGGTCAAGACCAGAAGTTGAACATGATATATCGGTCCACTAGAAATTACTGAAAATAATTGTTATCCATCTAATCTGATCTAACAAAACAAATCTAAACAAGTCAATATAGTAATTTGTTTACCGTTGACTGAATTTGGATTCTAGAACAAATCAAAACTAACCGAACGTGATCTTAGAATTAGAATCGAAACCTTTGAATACATCGCACATTTGCACCAATTTAGAAAAGTCATGAATAGTTGACCCCAAAAAAAAATTCAGGACTAAATAAGTCTAAACCTTTTTCGTAGAACAGCTAGTTAGAAATAAAAAGTATCCAACAAACTATAAACTTAAGCAATAAAAAAGATTAGGACTGAATTTTTCCTGTTAGATAAGAAAATTTGGACACAATACATATATGACTGGACAGATTTTGTTTTCTCCTGATTAGAAGCTGGAAAAATCCCAAATAACGACTTTCCTCCAATCAAATCACACAAGTATGTAATCAGAAAAAAACCAACACAATAATTATTATAAATGTTTTTCACCAATTGACCAAATAAAAAAAAACCCAAACGAATATAAAACCGCGTGATGGGAAAGGAACATGAAAAGAAGGTGACGATCGAGGGGGTAAAATCGTCAATGTCAGTTACAGAAACACTTGTTCGAGAAGCAAAACCGGACTTGTTCAATGCCCTGACATGTGTGTTGACGTGGAAGGTGGCTTGAGGTCCACGGTTTTATCTCTTACTAGATAAATGACATCCTCGAGAAGCTCACTTATTGTGTTGCGTTGTGGTTGAACCACACCGATCCGCCTTTTGTGAACGTTGACCAAATGTGAAATGTGGATATAGTCAACGCGACTAGCATTCCCCTAACGCATGGAAACTACAGTATTAGCATTCGTCTAGTGTATAACAACATCATGAAACAAAAATTTCAAAATAGATGAACAGTCAAGTTACCATTTGCCAGAAAATAGAATAAAACTCGTATAAATATTGTGATGTAAGGTTATGGGATGTGAGCATATTTCAGATATTATCCTCGGATCAAAATTCACTACGTGTTGGGTCAGTAAAGTATCCACAAACATACAAACAGACCGACCAAGAGCTATGAGAATGAAGTGGCAAGTGTTAGGCAGTGTATTGTTCGATTTATTTAATGGTATGACATAAATGAAAATTGGTCGCTGTAGGTCCATAGGTGGCTCACCAATACACCATCTCAATCATCGTGCACTACACTAGAATTATACAATAAATATGGAAACGCATTATTGCCGGAGAGGTGTTTGGTAATTGGTAAAAAGGATATTTTCACGGACATTGTGATTTGTAGTTGGTTGATTAAAATCTTGGCCCACTTATTAAATTTCACCAATAACTCAAAAACTCTAGTAACTTTTGTAAAACACGTAAATAAATAAATTTCTCAACTCAATAATTGAAGTAGAATAATTTCATGAACAGATCTAGTTTCTTTTATTATACACAGCGTGAATTAATTATGGATTAGATGAGAAATCTAATCAAACGAGTATGATTACTCCACAATAATTAAACTAGAATATACTGTATAAGATTATTTACTTCATAGAACAAAATATAGATAGCGTAGTATACAAGTAATGCATGTATTTGTATTGTTATAAATAGACGGGGAAATAAGATTTTTTCAAAATATCCTCAAATAAAGTTAAAGCTCCATAAAGTTCTCAAATATGGAGAAGAACGTGTGTGCCCAAATTTAGTAATTATGACTTAATGATCGAGAAGATAGGTAGAATGTGGACATCGAAGATATAACTTCAAAATTAAAAACAAGAAAAGGTCACGCGTTTATCTCATTTTGTGGTCCCTAGTATACTAAAAGTATGAGTCCGTTGAACAGATAAATCGAGCTTGAGTTCCATTTGGAAAAAAGAAGGATTAATCATATATTTTTGTAGAAATTTATGTTAAGTTGAGGGTATATAATATGTTATGATCACAGCTAAACTTATCCGAAATTAGAATGTCACATCGAGAAATGCTGTCCCACACATGTGTGCCTTACGCAATTCCATAATCCGACAGATTTATAATTTGTTTTGTTTGTATTTTGGTTGAATGGAAACGAGAGATAATTTGGAAGCCAAAAGGCCAAAGCCGCAGCAAATGTTAACATGTTTTCGACCAGTGTTTGAAGTCTTTTGGACATTTCACGGTGTCGTTCTAGGCATTTGGTCTGTCCACAATTTCTGATGAGACATCACAACAACTTATAACAAATATATATTTAAAAAAAAATATATATATATATATATATATCACTGATTGGATTTTAGTCTTTAATATCTTTTGACCGTTAATTAATCTACTTATCAAACGTCGCTCAATAGGATCTAGGTGATCATTGACTTTTCATTCTTGTGTATGTATCAAGCATATATAGATATAGACATTTGAATGCACTAGCATAATTAAAAACTATATCATTATATGAATCATAATCTACCTCCGAGACTAGGACATCTCTTTGCAGTTGGACATCTTTAGAGAGTTTACAAAAACTTTTCTACCTTCACGTCATCAAAACTTAGGTTAAACATAAAAATATCGTAAGTCGGTTTTCTTCTAAATTCACAATTCAAAGTTTTGTTTTTTGTGTTATGAATTGGAGATGTCTATAAAACCAACTCAAACGTGGGGATCCGATAGGTTAATTTTTGACTTCTTTTGGTCTGACTTGCAAAAGTTTAGATTCATTTTGACTTTTTCCATATATTATATACCCATATATATGTTAGTAATTATATATATGTCAATGTTCACAATGCATATTGGCAAAACATTCTTTGTGGCCGATCAGCTGCTTTATCGTGTGGACTTTCAAAACACACTAGGCAAGAATCACAACTCGCAAGACAAAGGTATGTATGGTAAAAAAAAAAAGACAAAGAAATGGTTGAACTGGCCGTTACGTCCTGGTTTGTTTATTGCTGATCCAAACACAAATGTCGGTTTATCATTTTGGAAGTACGTGACAGAGAATGTGCCTTTTAAAGAGAGGCTTCAAATAGTTTTCAATTTTCTACTTTTCTTTCTACCACCTAAATAGTTTGTTATAACTTGTCGTAGCATTAAAACCGTTTCCATGCAATAAGGATTCGATAAGGTAACATATGAGAACTATTCTTTCGCCTTATGCTACATAACATTATAAATAATTAAATTGTACCAAGAGAGAACTGTGTTATCGGAAAGAAACAAAAAAATCATCATTTCATTCCATTAAATGAATTTCTGTTTCATAATTTGAGAATTTAATGCCGGGATCAAAACTTTGATCAATTTAGTCATAATTTGAGAATTTGAAATTGAAAAAAACACTAATCGATAGAAAATGATAGTAATTTGGTAGGAAATTTTTACTAAAATTTCTGTACAAAAACTGTCCTACCAACATTTTCGTAAGAAGTTTCCTATTATCTTTTACAATTTCCGACGCCCGATTTCCTATGACAAAATTTTGTTAAAAAAAGTTATTTTCTACATTGTTTTGATGATATTTTTCGTAAGTTTTCAACATGTTTTCTTGTAATGTCAATACATGTTGGAAAATTTATAATAAAACGATGAAAAACAAATTTTGATCAAATGGACATAGGTGATATAGCTCTGCGATTAAACTAGTTCGTGTGACATAACCAAACATACATTACGAGTATCATATGTAATTGTTTTTACATAGATAAAAATTCCTCTAAAATTTGTAACACTTTTCAACAAACTAATAAATCATACTTTTCTGACTGAATAGTCACAAGTTAAACAAAAACAAGCGAATATTGACCGATTCATCCTGGTCACTGGTTGATATGATTTCAAATCATTGTGATTTTGATCGTTGTAAACTACCGAAACTATTGTAAATAATAAAATATATTCTTTATGTTTCATAATAATTGTCATTTTTATTTTGTATACGGATTGAGAATTTTTTCTAATATATGAATCCTATTTAACATATTAACTAATTCATATATATTCAACTTTGAATAAAGGGTAAAATAAAAATTACGATCAAAAAGTCATTTTGAAATTGTAAAAAAAAATATACTTGTTGGAACAAAAAATGAAAGCTAAAACTATATTTTTCTTTTTCTGTGAGGGACCGGAATATGTGTGTTTAGACAAATTGCTGAGATTATTACACGCTTTGACCTAGCATCCTCATACTAGTAAGATAAAATAACTCCTCCATGTGAAAGCTAATAAAATACATGTTTAGGTTTCTGTAGTAGACAAAACAAAAATTGTAAGAAAATACTATGCTTTTGAATAGGGTCATTTTAACACTCCAAAACCAAAAATATTGTAAACTTTTGTATTATAAAGCGATGATTGAAATAACCCAACTTTTGATATTTTCAATATACACAGAAAAAATAAATGTTTTTTTTTTAAAAAGTCGCTATTTTTGTAATACTTTTGAAGACAAATGGGTATTATAATTTAATAATTTACTCTAATAAAAAAATGGAAAACACAAGAGGACGAAAGAGAGGATCCAATTGAAAATCGGATTGGATTGTTACTAAATCTAGGCGTTGTCTGGTCAAAAATCACAAAACAGAAAGAAAAAAAAATTGAACCAGAAAAAAAGCTCACAGAAGAAGAAAAACTTGGATCCTTCACCATTTGCATTGCACTCCCGAAGGATTATAGATACGAATCTTACCTTTCACACGATCGTCACGAGATCCTCGTCTCCTTCTTTACCTGTTTCTCCTCTTTCGTCTTTCACCTCCATCTTCGTTTTAACCCCAAACCAAATCGTTAATCGTAACTCAATCGTTGCTCTGAACAACAACAACAACACAGGTTCCATTTTCTTTCGCTGTTCGTCCTCAGATTGCGTTTTGTTTCTTCCTCCCGTGCATTTTCGTCATTTCTTAGAATTAGTTTTTGGAGTATCGATTTTGAAAAATGCGAACTTTTGTGATTCTTGCTGGAGAAGAAGGAGAGTGCTTTTTATTAATTAATTGATTTTGTGCAGGAAATTAGACAAATGGCTGGTTCATCGACCAAGAGATATCCGCTCTATGCTAAGGATTATGAACTGTTTGAAGAGGTCGGTGAAGGTGTTAGTGCCACTGTGTACAGAGCTCGTTGCATTGCTCTAAACGAGAATGTCGCCATTAAGATCATGGATCTTGAAAAATGCAGGAACGATATGGTTGGTCTCTCGCATCTTTTTAATTCTTATTACCATAAAAAAGTATAGATTTTTGTATGAACTACATTTTTGTTAATTCAAAGAAGAACCAAAAAAAAAAAAATCCAATCTTTTTCTCTTACTTCATCTCTTAAACGAAGCTTGTTCACGCAGGAAACAATACGTAAGGAAGTTCACATTATGAGCCTAATTGATCATCCGAATCTATTGAAAGCGCATTGCTCGTTCATCGACCGTAACAGCTTGTGGATTGTCATGCCTTACATGTCCGGTGGCTCATGCTTTCACTTAATGAAATCGGTCTATCCAGAAGGTCTTGAGCAACCTATAATCGCTACTTTGTTGAGGGAAGTGCTCAAAGCTCTTGTTTATCTCCATAGGCAAGGACACATTCATAGAGATGTTAAGGTAGTCCATGTTTGTGTCTCAATGTTTTTGATAGATATCATTTACATTTTGCCACCTAATATGCTTCATCATTCTAGGCTGGGAACATACTGGTTCACTCAAAAGGCGTAGTTAAACTTGGAGACTTTGGAGTTTCAGCTTGCATGTTTGATAGTGGGGATAGGATGCGTACAAGGAATACATTCGTTGGAACTCCTTGCTGGTGCGTGCTTAAACTCTCTACAATAGGTTTTTTCGAGAGTCTTTATTTGTTTTGTTATGGGCTAATGGAATCTTTTGGGTCTCAAGGATGGCACCTGAGGTTATGCAGCAAGTAGATGGATATGATTTTAAGTATGTTTGCACTTTTTCTAGTCTATCTGCATTAGAAATCACGAGAGGGAGTAGCATAGGTTACTGATTTTTAAATTTTCTGTTTGGCATAATAGAGCAGACATTTGGTCGTTTGGGATAACTGCCTTGGAGCTAGCTCATGGTCATGCCCCATTTTCCAAATATCCACCTATGAAGGTGAGTCTTTACTGTATTATAAAGGCAAAATGTTCATCCTGCACAAAAAGATATTTCCTTTATCCACCTCCTCTGTGTTTTTCTTCTTCTGTTTCATTTGTTCGCTGTGTTTGGTTGCTGTTCACTTCAATACAAGTCTAGTTTCTTTGATCCAAATGTCTCTAACTTACCAATTAATTCAGGTGCTATTAATGACCTTACAACATGCTCCTCCTCGCCTTGATTATGACAGAGATAAGAAATTTTCAAAGGTGAGTGAGATTAAAAGATGTACGACATAAAAAAGTAGATTCCATTTCTTTCAGTGAGAAAGTAACTGTATCCTGTTTGCAGTCATTTAGAGAGTTAATCGCAGCGTGCTTAGTTAAAGATCCAAAAAAGCGTCCAACCTCAGCAAAACTTCTGAAGCACCCGTTCTTCAAACATGCTCGGTCTACAGATTATTTGTCTCGTAAAATTCTTCATGGTCTTTCTCCACTTGGTGAACGTTTTAAAAAGCTGAAGGTGAGTTCGAAGAACTTCCTTATCTGTTGGAACTTAGAATTTTCATTACTTACCTTTATATATATTACCTTTTTCATTACAACTCAGCCTCTGTCTTATGTTGGCTCAATAGGAGACAGAGGCTGAGTTGTTTAAAGGCATAAATGGTGACAAAGAACAGTTATCTCAGGTATATTTGCTCGCACGAAGATAATCCATCTTTGCGGTCTACTTGATTTAATCCTATATTGCTTTCTTACAGCACGAGTATATGCGAGGAATCAGTGCTTGGAATTTTGATCTCGAGGACTTGAGGAAGGAGGCATCACTTGTAAGTAAGGTAATGTCTTAGAGTAAACTTAAAACTAGCTTTTTTTTTCCGCACACTCTCAATGCTTCAATGTTCTGCTATCAGAATCCAGATGATGAAATGTGCAGTTCAGAGACTCGGGAACTGAACGGAAACCAAGATATGCCAAAAAGAAACCCAATGGTACAAAGGTCAAAGACCATGTCTTTGGAAATGTTCAAAGTCTCAGATAAGGCAAGTGTGTCTTTCCTTCTATGAATGTTCAAAATCTCTCTGTGCCTATTTTGTATTCCAGCTAAAACTATTGCCATTTACTGGTCCAACTTTCAGGATACGATGAGTAGGAGTAACAGTCTAACAACAGGTGCAATACTTCCTTCATTTCATCGCAAGTTCCTCCCGGCTATTGGGTACTCTACAAAGTTTCATACTTTGTTATCTCATTATCTTGCTTGTACAACTTTTGAAATAAACAAATTGGTGCAGATATCAAGTTGGGATCCTTTCTGATGAAAGCAATGCACGTCGACCGAGCAAAGGAGCTGCAGAGACACTCGCTCTTGAAGAGACAGATCAAGTAGAACCACTAGCGGATACCAAACAGACCCTCACTGTTGAAGAGCCAGATCAAGTAGAACCATTAGCGGATACCAAGCAAATGGGAAAAGCAGAGACTGAGCTGGTAATTTTCGATATGCTTTGAATATAAACTTTATATCGTAATGGTTTTTTAGATTGACCAAACAATTTTTTTGTTTTTCTAATCAGGAGAAACCAAAAAATGGCTGCACAGTTAGTCATGTGAACCGTGCAGCTAGTGAAATCCTCCCACTGTTACAGAGTCTCTTGGTTCAGAATGACATTCAGAGGGTGTGTTGTTTGTTGCGACCGCTTCTTAAATAGTTGTTTGGATTTATTTTCTGAGACTTCACATGAATATTTTGTTTTCTTGGCAGGACAAAGTAATCAGATTAATTAGATTTTTTGATCGAACTGCCGGTAATGCCTCTCATCAGTATCATCAGGTTCTGTTTCTTGTTTCAACTAATAAGTTTTAATGACGTTTCGGTCTTTAACTTGTACAGAAACTGAAAATCCAATCTCAAATACCGAAGGAGTGCAGGTATGTATGCTCTTTTTTCCTCATTGCGGGCTTATGTGGGTGCTTTCAATGCTTAACTTAAGAGCATGAAAACTCATAGATATATCCATCAAGGGAGAGAGAACTACAATCTCAGGTTAATTTATTGGAGCAAAGGTAATGAAAAATAGCTTCTTCCTTGTTTGTTTGTTTTGGGATTAAGATTTGATTAGTAAATTGGAGATATGGTGTTGTATGAGTTTTCAGTGTTGAGATTCTTGTAGAGGAATTAAAGAGAAGAAAAGACATAAATGGTCAGGTAAAAGGATAAAAAAACACAAATGTAGGAGTAGATTTTTTTTTTTTTTTTTAATTTATAAAAACTGAGAAAGCTTATCTGTTTGCAGCTAGAACGACAGATCAGATCCCTAACCAGCAGCAGCAATAGCATTCCTTAAGCTTAGCTACCTCCTTTTGTCTCTTCCAAGAGGAGGAAAGCGATTCTTTTTTGTATTCACTTATTTAACTTTTATTTATCATAATTGCGCAGAATCACTCTTTTTTGCCCATTAATCCAATATTCATTCCTCTAATTAAATAAGAAATTCCAGAAGCAACAAGAAAATAACAAAAGCATACCATGGGAGTATTTAACAAGTATATATAAGTGTTTTTCTACGTAACCTTTTTGATTAACCCCATACATATACACTAACAATCTACTTTTTTTTTGGGGTATGATTTGAGTGATTCAAGTCAACAATCTATATATTCTATATAATACTATAAGTGTAAACGTGTTTCTTCTGTTTCAACCTACTCCATTATGCATCATCAGCTCCTCTGCTTAACTTTGGGCTGATTCGGTAAAACCTGTGACGTCAATTTCTCTGTCAAGAAAACCAAAAATGGGTAAACTGTTATTCTACAAAATAAAGGACGATAGATTCCTTTCACAATCTTATTAAGGTATATATATTGACTTATGTTATAGTCTTATAGACCTTCCCAAGAAAAGTAAGGCCTTGCTCAATAAGAAAACATTTATTTGATTATAGTCTATAGATAGTCTATAGATTATGAAAAATATCATTTTAAAGGAGACTTACCCTGATTAATACTCCTAGTCTTTATCTCTCTGATTCTTGATTATATCCAAAAGAAGCTCGTCTCCAACCACTTCCCTCATCTTCCTAACTAGCTGCTCTCTCTTCAGCTTCCGTTTCTAAAAGATTAAAATCACATTTCAGAAGCAGAGAGAGAGAGAGAGAGAGAGAGAGAGAGAGAGAGAGAGAGAGAGAGAGAGAGAGAGAGAGAGAGAGATCACACATGGATTTGAATAGAGTTTTCGAAATTCAATACCCGAAAATCATCATAAGCTGTCAAGATCACATTCAATCTTGGTGGGTCGAGTGAGTTTGGAAGTATGGACATGAGTAAAGAGAGGCTAACACATGGAGACCTTGCTCTTCCCAAAACACCACCATCTCTAGTGAGACCTGAAACAATAAAAACCAGAAAACCAATTTCAGATTCAATCAAAGAATTAAAGTTCACGCAAAATTTGATATCTTGGAATTAAGTTCCATTACCTCTAAGTCGAGGAGACCTGAAACTCACGACATGACTCGGGAGAATGTAAGAATTCATGTTACAGCTCCAAATCACATACTTTCTCGGATTCTCAAGATTATCAACACCAGAATCATACTGAACCGAGCTCGGGTACGATTGGTTAGACCCAGAGCTGATTTGCTCCGGTTTACCAAGAATCAAACGGCACAAGAGAAGATGTTTTAGCCCTTCCTCATCATCTTCTTCAACTATAGCCCTGAAGACAAAAAAAAATTTCACTGTTACATCAAAAATTACATATTCCACAAACCCAATTTCTAAAATCAAGCAATTTCTCAGAAATCAAATTAAACCGGAACTTACGCAGCGAGAGAGCATTTATGATGAATAAGATGAATCCCGACGCCGTGAGATCCATTATCGTTCTCGAATTTCTCGATTTCGCGGCTGCTAAACCCATACGAAATGATGTCGTCGATCTCTTCCTTGGAGCCTGAATACCATCCGTACCTCACGTTGGCGTTTCCGCCGTTTTTCCTCTTCATAGCTTCGGTGAAAACGACGGACGCCGCGAACTTCGCCTTCGTCGTGACTCTCTCCGTCGAGTTCTTACGCACCGCGACGACCGTGGTTTCGCCGGCGAATGGACCCATCCCGGAGAGGAAACAGTTTTTGATGACGTCGTACTCGTGATTGTCTTCGCGGAGAAGAACCGTCGAGTCTCCGGTGAAGTTACCGGCGAGGCGAGAGTCGGCGTTGTCGGAGAAGGAATCATCGATGATTTCGCCGTGATCTGAATTGGTGAAGGACTCTTGGTCATCGATCTCGACTTGCGCCGCCATCGTCACAGAGAGAGAGAAGGATTTTTTGGGAAAAAGGGAAAATGGTGGGTGAAGGAAGGTTTTGTTTCAATGGCGGTTTCAAGGATTTACAGTTATAGAGAGAGAGAGAGAGAGAGAGTTTAGTGTGGCTTGCAGAACAAGTATCTGATTCCCACTGCCATCTTATTCCTCAATTACCATTTTACCCTTTTTCCCTATAAATAGAAACAAACACCTAACAATAATTTTTTATTTTTATTTTTTTTTGGACGTGTAACGATATAAATTGGATTATAAGATGTTCATTTGTTTTGTGCATACAATTTTCTCCCTATACTAATCATAAACTTTTGGCCCTTTCTTAATACTAAAATCAAAAAGTTTAATATGGATCCTTAAAATTTCTTGAAATTGGCCTCTAATCAATTCTTAACCTACATATATGTATATAGGTAGAAACTTCAAAAAAAAATATATATATGAAATTTAATTTTTTTTTGAAGTTTCTAGTGTTTTAGAAAATATATAGGCCCTGATCATTTGCACATGCCCAGAACCGCCCTTACACATGCGAATACAAAATATAGAGTTGATAAATTGTTAAGTTTTGAATGGAGAAGACAAAGACTGTTTCAACCATGTATGTAAACAGTGGCGGACCCGTGATTTAAGTTAAGGGGGTTCATATTTCATAATATATAACCCAGAATAAAAATAATTGAAAAATAACCATATATTTGGGATTGAACTCTATGAGGGGTGTCAAACCATGAATTATTAAAGGTTAACGTATCTGCCTCTATATATAGAATCTTTAATTACATACAGCAAAACTACTAATATACAAATTTACCCTGTGTCATATGACCTCCCATAGCTTAACGTATCTGCCTCTGTATGTAAAAGGATGAATGTCCACAAAAGACTACTAATATAGCAAAACCACTACGGAATTTGTCATTAGTTAGTACAATGATTTGATCGATGGCGATATAAATAATAATTAGCAATGATTTATAACCGAAATCGTGATTAAGGCAATGCTTCTGATGACTAATTAGGATCTGAAATTGCCATCAGGTTTTGCATCTGATCTTTTGAATTAATGTTTATCAATTAGTAAACTGGGGTTGTAATTAGGCAAATCACTTATGTATTTCTTATATCTTCATCTGCTCTGTTCTATATCACGACATCACGTGCCTAAAAGTAAGAAAGTTGAATCTTTTAGTAGTCATATATATGTTTGACTTGTGAACTATGATTAGTGGATAAAACTCGGTTATTCTACTTAAACCAAGAGTCCAAGACTCAACTTTATCATCAGTGATGATCCAAAGGAAACGAAACTACAAATCCGTAAGAGATATGTAAACAAAAGGGCTACGACAATATAACTGTTCCACCATATAACTCTATCGAATGTAACATTTCAAAAGTTTCATTCCTCAACTGCGATCTTGCCCTCTCACTAACATAGTTACCATAAAATCAACTTCCTAAGATCCTATTTTTTTTTATTTTTTTTTTGGAGAAAGCTATATCATTGTTCTTCACATGATATTTCTGCTCGAGATCAAACAAGTAGTCATAAAAATAGAGTTATTAACCCTAGCCCGTCAAGCACAACACTTAAAGCCGTCCACAGACTACGGTCGTGAATTCGAGTTACAGGACTTTAACTTTTTATAAAAAGAATTTTTGGGCCCTACAATACACCTGATTTTCTGTTAGTTTAATATGGGCCATTTACATTGCATCCCTTGCATACCTTAAAAATCTCCTCCCCTGCTTTCGTACCAACTTTCCTTTTTTGCATGGTTTTTTTTTGTCGTCGTCTTTTTTGCAGTATGACTAATCACTAATGGGTGCTTTATCTTCTGTTTTTTCCAACAGTCGAGAATTGGTATGGAAGAACACTTGCCTGGGGTTTCAATGAATTTATCTCTTTTGAAGATCTCAGAGATTCATCAAAGGGTTTCCTTGTGAATGATGTGTGAATGATGTGTTGATGATTCAAGTCGAGCTGGAGACCATTTCTACTACCAAGTACTTCCCTAGTTAAGATAATTTCTCTAACTAAGGAACTTGCATCTCCATCTTTGCTTTATTATCAAACCACTTTGTGTTTTTTTCCTTTTGTATTTTTGTCTGTTATTGTCAGCATCTTAAACAATAAGATTATAAGAATCATGTTTGTGTTTTAAACAAATGATAAAATTCTATAAAAAATAAGTCACTTTTTTTTTTCTATTATCTTCATTTTGTTTTTACAGCTGTTTTGTCTATTATCTTCTTTATACACCAATTTTTATATGAGAAACTTACATTCTCCACCAATGGTTTTTGGTGATCATTTTGATAAGAATGGGGTTTTCAAGGGTGATGATTCTGCAAGTCATCATAAATCTCGAAGAGGTAGGCCAATAAAACCTTCTCAAAAGGTGAAAAATATGCAATCGTCATATGATCGTGGTCGTCAAGGCTTTAGTGGTCGTGGATCTCGTTAGCCATTCATCATTAAAAAAGCTTTTGGTAGATTAAACTAATCCTTAATCCTTTTTCTGGTTTTTTCTTATATGTTATGTTGTAATATTCTCTTTTAAAATCAATGAAAGCCCTTTAACAAAAAAAAAACTTGCATTCTATACCAAAAATAAAATAGATAACAAAAATTTTTTTTTTTTTGACATCAACAAAACACTATTATAAACATTGTGCATTTCACAAATCAAAACCTAATTTCTACCAAATGACTTCTCTTACCTAATCAAAACCTATTTTTCCACGTCGGATTATTTCCCCTCTCCTAGTAATCCGATGTGGCATACTTCAAACGGATCACCAGGTCGGGTTTGATTCAAAAAATAACCCATCAATATTGCGCGGTAACCCGGGTATGAAGCAGAGGTATTCTCATAGTTTCAAAAAGTGAAAGGGCCTAAAAAGAAAAACAAAAAAAAAAAACGAAAGCAAAAACAAAAAATATAATAGAAGAGAGCCGCAGTTTTGGATCAAACGATTACACGACGTGCCTCCAAGTACTCTCTCTCAATCACTAAGATCATGGCGACCTCTTATACTCGTTCCTTCCATTTTTATTATTTTCCCGGGAAAACGAGGTCAGAGAGAGAGAGAGAGAGAGAGAGAGAGGATCTCCATTATCGTGTTTTTGTTACCTTTTGACATCGTCAAATTTTATAAAAATTCCGTAATGGCACGCATTTCTCCTCTCTCTCCAGCTTATTTCCAGGTCTTCTCTTTGTAAATAAACCCTAATTTTTTGTAATTAGAAAATCTTAGTTGTTTCCAGTTGCAGCAGAGCGGAATATAGTTTGTTTTCTTGTTTCTTCTTCTCATTGATTACTCAATTGTTTTCTGGTTTATCGATTGCTAGTTTCATTACTGGTTTTGGGGAGAGACGATATCAATGTGCTAAACACAGAGAGAATTGAGTGTCTGTTCTTCTGGGGAAGAATCACAAGCAGAAGATAATGTCTGACTCGCCTACTTCTTCTCCACCAGCACCTTCTGCCGATTCAGCTCCGCCGCCCGCTAACTCCACCGGTGGATCTGCTCCTCCACCGACGGATTCTGCGCCGCCTCCAAGCCCGCCGGCTGATTCATCTCCGCCGCCTCCTAGCCCGCCGGCTGATTCATCACCACCGCCGAGTACCCCATCTCCACCACCGGCGACTCCTCCGCCAGAATCGTCCAATCCGCCGCCTCCACCGCCGGATTCCCCTCCCCCTCCTCCCCCGGACGCTCCACCTCCAGCTGATCCTCCACCGGAGCCAACAAACTCCCCTCCTCCTCCACCGGAGGAATTCGAATCACCACCTCCTCCGCCAAATGAAGACGATAGTAGTCCTCCTCCACCCACTGAAGACGATAGCCCTCCTCCACCTCCGCCTCCGGAAAAATCGTCTCCTCCTCCGGCGTCTTCACCGAAGGGAGGACCCAAGAAGCCGAAAAAAAAACCACCACCACCACCACCGGGACCCACCAAATCCCCTTCAGCACCAACCAAGTCTCCTCCGGCACCAGCTAAATCTCCTCCGGCTCCTCCAAACGCTCCGCCGCAAAACACATCTCACGCAATACCACCCAAGTCCGCCGTTGCAGGTGGACCACTCAAGTCGCCATCTCGCGGAGTCCCCAGCGCCGGAATCTCCGTCCCGCCACCTCCACAACAAGGTGGCTATCAAGGGAAGACTATGGCCGGAATGGCAGTAGCCGGATTTGCAATCATCGCTTTGATCGCCGTCGTTTTCTTAGTCAGAAGAAAGAAAAAGAAAAACGTCGATGCCTACAGTGACTCACAGTACTTGCCTCCTTCAAACTTCTCCATCAAATCAGGTGAACAAATCTTGATCCATCTCTCATCTCTTTGCTCGTTCTTTCAAGAAACAAATTTTAACTCTCTTGAAACCATGTAGATGGATTTTTATACGGTCAGAATCCATCAAAGGGATACTCAGGTCCTGGTGGTTCAATGTACAACACACAGCAACAATCCAATACCGGAAACAGCTTCGGGAGCCAAAAAGGAAGCCAGAGAGGTTACACACAGTCAGGGAGTACACCTGATTCAGCTGTGATGGGAAGTGGTCAGACGCATTTCACATATGAAGAGCTAATGGACATAACCGAAGGATTTGCTCGGCAAAACATACTCGGAGAAGGAGGGTTTGGGTGTGTGTACAAAGGTAGACTACATGATGGGAAACTAGTTGCGGTTAAGCAGCTCAAGGTTGGTAGTGGACAAGGTGACCGTGAGTTTAAGGCAGAGGTTGAGATCATTAGCCGTGTTCACCATCGCCATTTGGTTTCTCTGGTTGGCTATTGCATTTCGGATGTCGAGAGGTTGCTTATCTATGAGTATGTTCCTAACCAAACCTTGGAGCATCATTTGCACGGTGAGATTCTTTTACCACTATTTCCTCATCAAAAAAATGTTTTCTTGTTTGTTAGCTGAATTTGTTTTTTGTTTGACTTAACAGGTAAGGGAAGGCCAGTGCTAGAATGGGCTAGGAGAGTCCGAATCGCTATAGGTTCTGCCAAAGGTTTGGCGTATTTGCACGAAGACTGTAAGTCACTTTATGCGTGTCAAGGCAATTCTTAGGCATTTTGAACTACAAAGGGAAGCTGAATTTATTTATGTATTGTTTTGTTTTGCAGGTCACCCAAAAATCATTCACAGGGACATAAAATCCGCAAACATTCTGCTGGACGATGAGTTTGAAGCTCAGGTAATGAAGAACATCATTCCTTTTTCTTTTCTTTTTTAACACTTCCTCTGTTTGGAGCTTTGGCTCTTAAGTTTTAGTTGATGAAGCTTAATCTGTTCTTACTTTTTCTGCTGCTTGTTGTTTAGGTTGCTGACTTTGGACTTGCCAAACTCAATGATTCAACACAAACCCATGTATCAACTCGCGTTATGGGAACCTTTGGGTAAGCTTTTGGAGACGAAAAGTCTTTTGTAGAGTATTAGGTGCTTCAACTTCTAAATCTGAAAATGATGAACTAGTTTGTTTATATAAAGAGCATTTAGATTGTTGAAAAGTACATAAGCCTCTATGTTATTGGATTCTGTCTTCAGGTACCTGGCACCAGAATATGCACAAAGTGGAAAACTGACAGATAGATCAGATGTTTTCTCGTTTGGGGTTGTTCTCTTAGAGCTTATAACTGGACGCAAACCAGTTGACCAGTACCAGCCTTTGGGAGAAGAGAGTTTGGTCGAATGGGTAAGTAAAATACTAATCTGCATATTTCGGTTACAGTTATATATGGTTGGCTCTAGTTACTTAAAAGCTCACAACCCTTAAACTCTTAGGCTCGCCCGCTGCTTCACAAAGCCATTGAGACCGGCGATTTCAGCGATCTGGTTGATAGACGGCTCGAAAAGCATTACGTTGAGAATGAAGTTTTCAGAATGATTGAAACGGCTGCTGCTTGTGTTAGGCATTCCGGTCCAAAACGTCCACGCATGGTTCAGGTAACTTTCTTATAACACTATCAAATAACAATATTCAAATCTGTAAAATGAAGAAGCTTTATATGCCTTATGGCTTACTCTCTTATTGGGAAACTCTGAAAATCTGTATTCGTAGCAACAATATGACTAATCAAATCGCACATGCATAGCAACAATAACAGTTGTATATGTCTCATGTTTTCTAGTTGCTTCAATTTGGAAACTTGTCTTATCTCAAACGAAACTTGTTTTAAATAAAGGTTGTGAGAGCATTGGACAGTGAAGGGGACATGGGAGACATCAGCAACGGAATCAAAGTGGGACAAACCAGTGCTTATGACTCCGGTCAGTATAACTCAGAAATCATGAAGTTCAGGAAAATGGCGTTTGGTTTTGATGACAGCTCAGATTCAGGGATGTACAGTGGAGACTACTCTGTCCAAAGCTCCCGGAGAGGATCCAACGGAGCCTCTGCTGAGTTTACAAGGAACGAATCCGAGAACCGAAACTTCAATAACCGGCGGTTCTGATTCAAAGATAGGTGAAGTTATCATACCTCTTCGCTTTGGCCTTTGCCTTATTATCCCCCTCATGCTTGAGCTCTCTGTTGTACAGCATTAATGCTATTTGTATTTTTGTGTGAGATACATTTTCTTGCTTAGCTACCTTTAGTTTTGCTCCATAATATGGCCATATGCCTCAAAAGCCTTGATTATAGGTGAGAACACAAAAAGCATAAAGAGAAAAGAAAAAGAACTCATAAAAGTTCTGAAAGAGTGATTTGAATTCTTGTTTTGTTTCTCCTCGTTGAGTTTTCTGATTTTTGTTGAGTGTGATCACGATAATGAAGAACTCCATATTCTGATATATGACATTTATTTTTCACAGACTGAGCATGTAATTTTTTTGTTTTGTTTTTGAGTGTGAATCTGTGATCACGATAATGAAGAACTCCATCATCTACTTTTTTTTGCTTTTATATATAATCTAATCTCCAAGTTCCATATCCTTATGAAACAAGACCAATCGACCCAAAACAAGAACAACGACAAACAGAAACAAACAAGAAAATGATGAAGTTAAACGAGCTTGAGGAAGTTTCTTGTCTTATTACAATCAGTGTCTTGACCAGAGCTTGAAGTCGGAACCACCGTGTCTGAAGTTCAACTCCATTTTCCTTTCACTTGAACCTTACTCCATGTTTAGTAACCGGAGGTGGTCCTTTCTTTCCTCCTCCTCCTCCTCTCTTGTTATCAAACCCAAACTCAATGTCCCCACCGTTTCGACCAGAGGGTTTGCTCATTGGACCAGGACGCTTCATGTCAAACCCAAACTCCAAATCATCACCTCTCTCTCTCGGTTCACGCTCCACAGGTCTGATCTCACGGCTCTTCTTTGAAGAAGGTTTCTCATGCTTTGAAGGTTTGTTCTTGTTTTTGTGATCCTTGCGGCTGCCGTTGCATAGCCTTCCAAACACACAAGCCAGTGCTGCCAAGATAAGAATGGCGGCTAGAACTATGAACACTGTACTGAACGAGCCACTTGAACGAGAGGACGTAGGCGGCGGATAAGAGGAGAAAGATGAAGAAGAAGATGGATACACCTCAAGAGGTTGCTGAAACTGTTGTTGTTGTTGTTGTTGATCTGCCATTTTTTTTTTGGGTGCGTTTGGTGCTGATTGTGATTTTGGTGAGATATGCTTTTGGGAGCTCTGTGATGTTGATGAGTACTTCAATTCATGCCAATGCATTAATAGCACTTACACTACTCTCCATGATCATTCTGTTTAAATAAAGCTTATGCAAGACATGTGTTCTTTTTTTGAAATAAAGTTACATATTGCTTGCTTTTGTGGAAATTATCAGTTTTTTTTTTTCCTTTAAATTTAAAGGTAATGTGGGTTTGTTTTTTTAAATGGTTTTGTATCAATAATATGGGTTTGTTTAAGAGATGCACATAAGAACATTTTCTGATTGCTTTGTAAGAAGAGAAAGTGAGATTTTGGTTAAGTATTTTGAGATGAGATACAATACTGTTTCCAATAAAGATGAATTAAAGATTTGATGAGTGCGGATGCTGCTTTACCAATCATTGACTCTACTCTTTAGATTCCCACACCCATTAATTTATACACCTCCATTTTCTGATTCCCTAGTGCTTGTATGTATCTTGTGTATTCTTTATTATTATAAATCTTGATTGTTATAAAGTTGGGCTGAATATCAGGAGAGAAAAAAAAACTGGTTTTGCATTTTCATATTAAAGTGGGAATATGGATCCACTAATTTTGCATAAAATACTTGTTACACCATCAAATCTTCTTTAGTGTTTAAGTGTTATCCTTTCTTGTGAATTTCTAACCGGATTTATTTACTTTAATTTTGTAAGTTTAGAGTGGGGTTCCACAAGACGAGAGAGAAAGGAATGGGAATGTATTCAACATAGGGATTAGTGTAAAACATATTTTGAGTTCTTTCACGCAAAGATTTGTTTTCCTCTTTTCTTTTTCATATTTCATTCAAATTCAAACTTTTTGTCTCCTTGAATGTCCTTTTCTTCCTCAGAAAATGTTGAAGTGTTCACAATGTTACCTTCTTATCAACCACAGTGGCCTAATGGGGCCACAGTTAGATTTTGAATTTTGATTCTTTACTTGCTTTGAAGAAAGAAAAATATTCCTTGCATCAATCGTACAAGCCTCTTGATGAACCGTAGAATCACAAAACGTTTGTTAAACTTGAACATTCCATTACCGGATCTTTAAAATGCATTTATCGACTACAATAAATTCAATACACCATTATCAAGAGGAAAAGAAATTATATACGTGATTGCTTCTGTTATTCGTATTTATCCCATTTCCTCTCTGCTTTTCCTTTTCTAATATGTGCTTTTTTACTTGAAAAAATTCCGTCCAAGAATAATGTGTTGGATTTTCGCGATGGATGGAATTGAAACGTATTGGCGTCCCAAGACCTTGGACGGCTTCTTTGTTTGTTAATGCCTTTTATTAAAACTAAGAGAGGATCTGCGCATACGCGCGGATCTTGTTTTAATTTATATTTTAAATATTACAGTTTTAAAATTTGTATTGGATGAAGATAGCGTATTCAAGTTTCTCATAACTGATTAGAGATCGATAAAAAAACTCTCTCAGGCACATTGCCCGAGCCTTTCCTAAAATGTTTGAGATCTGCTTCCCCTTAGTTGAAGCACTACTTTTTTACCCAAAATAGCTTTCTCCCCTTTGGAAACCATGTCCCCTGCTCGGAAACCGCCGCAAACACTACCCTTAAACTCACTGGAACTCTGCTGTTCTACCTGAAACCAACCTCCCGCATCCCCTGTTTCCTTCGTGTACCTGATCGGCGACCTCTTCTTATTCCCTCCCTTGTGCTTCACAGAATGTCTTCTCTAGGTTCTCTCATCTTCGATGTTTGTTCAGCTCATGATCAAATGGAGGCCTGGTTCAACTGTTGAAGATTCTCCCTGATTGGGAAGCTTTTCTAGTGAACTCTGATTCTGCTCAGATCTCCACCAGTTCTAGTCTCGGACTAAGGCCCTCAGCTCCTAAAGACGACGATCTTAACTCGACTCACAACAACATCATCTCATCCCACCAACTGAACTATGGACCGGTCAAAGCAAGTTACAAACATTCCCCACCTCGAAGAAGATGATGAAGAAATCATTGAACTCCCTAAAGTTGACAACTCTCACCTCATCGCTAGATTCAGCAGGAGTCTGGTTGGAAGAATGTTCAACCAAGAGATTAGAAGCACTGAAGCTCTTCTTGCCTTCATGCCAAGAGCCAATATCTGGGATGTGGAAGGTAGGATTCATGGAATAGACCTGGGCAACTCCAGATTCCAGTTTGATTTTGACTCTGAAGCTGATCTTCAAAGAGTGTTAAGCAAAAGGCCTTGCCACTTCAACAAGTGGTCCTTCTCTCTTGAAAGATGGATCCCTCATGTAGGAGAATCTTTTCCAAATAACATGATTTTCTGGATCAGAATCTCTGGGATCCCAACTCATTTTTGGCTAGAGGAAAACTTCAGAGAAATTGGAGAAAGACTAGGAGAGGTAAAGGCTGTGGATGCTAGATCAGCAAGGGTGCAAGTCTCATTAAACGCAGACCAACCCCTCAAGTTTTCTGCAAGGGTTCGACTTAACTCTGGTGAAGTGGTAAAAGTGGAAATGAAATATGAAAAACTTGACCGCTGGTGCCTAACTTGCCGCCATATCTCTCATGACGAACGTACCTGCCCTATGCTAACTGAAGAACAGAGAAGAGAAAAGATGCTGGAGAGGGAGGCAGAAAGGAACCTGGCTCAAGCTACAAGAGACGAGCAGCTAAGAGAGAGAGATATCTTGCATCTTCGGCGCCAAGCAGGACAGATCTCTGCTCCTGGCCGTGAAAGAGCTCCGGTGATCCACTCTGCCCCAGATGCAACGCTGAACGTGCCACCATCAAGAAAAGAACAAGAAGAAGGTAAGAGAGTTAGAAGAGACTCACGGGGCACTGATGAGAGGAAAACGGAGGATAGGAGAAGCAATAGTGTCTGGAATCGAATTGAACAGAACCGGGACTATCGCTCGGAGGCTCGCCGCTACGAACGTCGATATGAACCCTTGGAAGATCAGGCTTTACGCCACAGAGATCAGCTCAATATGCCTGAAAACATCTACCGTAAAAGACGGTATGAGGAGTCTTTTGCAGCGAGCAAAAAGAAAATGGACCAGAGCAAAGGGAAAGAATTGGCACCTAAAAAGAGCTCCACTTCTGGAAAACCTCCATCGTCAAAGCCTCCCCCAATCCCAAAACAGTCTTCTGACTCCCAGCGCACCTTGTCGGACTTACCTCCGCGGATGGAGCCTCTGAAAGCCAAGCAGGGATCCACCTCACCGGAGCATCTGCGAAGCCGCCCGTTTCGCCTAAACATTCTTAGCAGGTCAAGCGGGTTAGGGAATGGAAACAAATTGGAGGCGGGAGAGACCTCTGAGGCGGGGAGTTCTGCAAAGAAATCCCTCTTTTCTGATCCGGCGAAGCCAGAAGATGATGCTCCAATCTCATCGCAGAACCAAGCTAGCAGGGATAATCCAACTCCTCTGCCTCCTCTCACGTTTAGCAATAAGAGTTGGTTCGATCAAACCCTGGAAGAAGAGGATGATACAGTCGCTTCAGTGGAAGATGATCAAAACCGGATGGAATCCCTCGGAGCTAATTCTGAGAACCTGGAAGATGGAAATTTGGTAGCAGAGATGGGGACTAACTTTACCAACCTCGACGAATCTCCCATGGAAGAAGAAGAAACCCAAGCGGACCCCGACTTTATAATGCCATCTGACACTGTTGAAGGAATTGCTGAGGAAGACGAATGGTTGGATGATTCGGATCTGTTCGATGAAGACGAATTGGAAAAGTTTTTGAAAGGAGACGATCTTCTTGGAGATGAAAAGGAGGACGAAGAACCAGCTAAGGAGAAGCCTGATTCAATCCCGCAGCAGGAGGAGAACCGCTTGAAGCCGAGGGCATCCTGGTGGAGAAGCCCGCCACAAACCGACGATGAGAAGGCACATCCTGTAGTTGTCGGAAAACCAAGTCGCAGCTCCGTGAGGAAGAAAGTTCCAAAATCACCGATGAATGTGGGAGCCTCTCTGAAGGAAAGGAATTTTGGGCTGGGCCGTATATCGCCTAAGATGAAAGGGAAGGGGAAGGGCTCAATTCGTGCAAATAGACCAGCTTCATCTCCTTCTTCAGGCCCATATCGCAAAGAAGAAAAGGACAAAAAGAATGAAGCCCAAGAAGAGAAGACCAAAGAAGACAAGAATCCTAAGGCCCAGAAGACAAGAGGCCCATCATCATCTGGTTTGGGTGGAGCCCATAAACCAGCGAACCGCCAGCCATGAATGTAATCGGATGGAATTGTCCGGGTGCAGGAGCCGACCTGAGGAAGGATCACCTAAAAGAGCTCCATAAATGTTTTTTTCCTCGGTTTTTTTTTATCAGAAACTAAAAACAATCGGATGTTTATGCAAGATATGCAAATGTATTTTGGCTATGACCATGTATGTGGAGGAACCCACGGTATCTATTATTTATTCTGATGAGCACTTAATTGATGTCGAATCAAGTCTAGATGGACATAAGATTTTTATGACCTTCGTCTATGGAGATCCGGTTGTAAAAAACCGAGAAAATGTATGGGAACGCCTAACAAGAATGAGCATTACCAGAAAAGAAGCCTGGTTCATGATAGGAGATTTTAATGAGATTACTGGGAATCATGAGAAGCGAGGAGCTCGGAGAAGACCAGAATACTCATTTATCCCCTTCCGGAATATGCTTAATAATTGTGGAATGCTTGACTTCCCATATAAAGGAAATTCATTCTCTTGGGTTGGAAAAAGACGGTCTGGTAAAGTTAAATGCCGTCTAGACAGAGCTTTGGGGGTCAGATCATCGACCAGTTTTAGCTATGATAAAAATTGACAACAGAAGGAAGAAAAAATCTTTTCGATTTGATAAGAGATGGATCGGAAAGCCTGGGTTTAAAGAGACAGTCATTTCCGGATGGGGCCCCTTTAATGAAATCTCACTTCGAGATTTTCATCAAAAGGTTGCCCAATGCCGGAAAAACATCTCTATTTGGAAGAAATTCTCTCCGACTAACTCGGAAAAGATGATCGAAGAATTAAAAAACCAATTGGACTTAGCCCAAGATGATGATAACACAACTATAGAAGAGATCGAAGACATCAGGAGGAAACTTTGTGCTGCCCTTTGGGAAGAAGAAATGTTCTGGCAACAGAAGAGTCGAGAGAAATGGCACAAAGACGGTGACAAGAACACAAAATTCTTCCATGCCTTCACTAAACAAAGGAGAGCCAGGAACCGAATCGTCTCCCTGAAGGATAGTAACGGACATCTGGTGGAAAATGCGAGAGGAATAGAAAAAGTGGCATCTACGTACTTTCAAGATCTCTTCTCATCGTCTTCCCCCTCAGACCTGGAATTTCCTCTCTGGTTTATTACCGAGAAAGTCTCAGATAATACAAACCAATTAGTTTTGAAGGATCCGTCGGAGAAAGAAATTAAGGACGCCCTTTTTGACATTAACCCGGATAAAGCTCCTGGTCCCGATGGTATGACAAGCAAATTTTACCAAAAATTCTGGCCTTTTATTCGCCAAGATATTGTTAAACTGGTTAACCAAACCAATATTTGTCTAATCCCAAAGATAAACAAACCTAGAGCAATGGGGGAATTCCGCCCAATCAGCCTATGTAACGTCAGCTACAAGATCATCTCCAAGCTTTTTAAGCAAACGGTTCAAAAAGACATTGCCAAACATAATTTCAGAAACACAATCGACCTTCATGGCTAGACGTCTTATTACAGATAATATTCTGTTAGCGCAAGAAAATTTTCATGCACTCCGAAGTAATACAAATTGTAGAGAAAATTTCATGGCTATCAAGACAGATATGAGCAAAGCATATGACCGAATTGAATGGAATTTCATTGAAGCCCTTCTAATCAAGTTAGGATATTCACCGAGATGGGTTAGTTTACTGATGTTTGTATCTCATCAGTGTCATATCAGGTCCTTATTAATGGAGAACCAAAAGGTAATATCAAACCGTCGAGGGGCTTAAGGCAAGGGGATCCTCTCTCCCCTTTCCTATTTATTCTGTGCACAGAAGGTCTTATTTCGCTCCTTAAAGGAGCAGAGGAAAAAGACCGAATCTATGGGCTGAAAATAGCTCAAGCAAGTCCCCTAGTTTCCCATCTTCTCTTTGCTGATGATATTCTGTTTTTCTGTAAAGCGGATATCTAACAAGGAGCGAAGATTCTTCGAATCGTAAACACGTATGGAATGGCGTCGGGACAACAACTGAATCTGGGGAAATCATCCATCTTGTTTGGAGATAGAGTGGACCCGGATCTCAAGCGAAGTGTTAAAAATACCATAGGTATCTCTGCAGAAGGCGGCAAGGGTATGTACCTAGGCCTACCTGAGCAAATCTGTGGATCAAAGAAGAAGGTCTTTTCCTTTGTTCATGAACGCCTTAGTAATCGTGTAAATAATTGGTCCGCAAGACTTCTCTCCAAGGGGGGAAAAGAGATTCAAATCAAATCAGTAGCTCAAGCCGTTCCCACTTATGTTATGTCCTGTTTTCTACTTCCTAAAGGGGTTATAGACAAACTTCGGAGTGCCATTGCCAATTTCTGGTGGAGTACAAAACAATCTAGTAGTGGAATCTACTGGATTGCTTGGAATAAGATTTGTACTCCAAAGGACATGGGAGGCCTTGGCTTTAGAGACCTAAATGATTTTAATCTAGCCTTGCTAGCGAAGCAACTATGGAGACACATTCAATATCCCTCTTCTCTTCTGGCTCGGGTGCTAAGAGGAAGATACTATCGTCAATCAGATCCGTTAGAGGATCGTAAAGTCTACTCACCATCTTATGGATGGAGGAGTATGTTGGCCGCAAAACCGTATCTCAAAATGGGATTAAGGAAGACGATAGGGTCGGGACTTAATACGAGGGCGTGGAGTGAATCTTGGATCCCCGATGAAAGGGCCTGTCCACCAAGAACAACCCCCCAGATCGGACTCCAGGACCCAGGAGTGTTAGTGTACTCCTTTATCCGGCAAGATACAAAGCAATGGAATGAGCCCCTTCTACGAGAATTTTTCCAACCTGAAGATGTCTCTCTTATCCTTGGGTTGAGACCTACTAGGAACCGTACACTTGATGGATTTGCGTGGAACCATACAAAATCAGGAATCTATACGGTTAAATCCGTATATGACCTGATTAGGAAATCTAACCTCGATCAGAATTCGGATGTCGTGAGAGAACCGAGTATCACAACCCTTCAAAGCTATGTCTAGAAAGTACGGGCGCCTGGGAAAATGAAGCATTTTATGTGGCAAGCACTTTCAGGTTGTATTGCTACTTGCCAAAACTTAACCTACAGACATATGGGAACAGATAAGAGGTACCCCCGCTGTGGGAATCCTGAAGAATCTATTAATCACTTATTGTTTTTATGTCCCCCAGCCTTACAAGTCTGGGCGTTATCGGACTTTCCGTCCCTTCCGGGTCTCTTCCCGAGCACTTCTATTTACCAAAATATGAGCTTCCTCTTTTGGAAAACAAAAGAGTTAGGCATGACAGATCCCCAAAAGGATATTTATCCTTGGATCTTGTGGTACATTTGGAAAGCGAGGAACGACAAGATCTTCAACGGGAAAGAAATTTCCCCGGTAGATACCTTGATCCACGCTAAGGTTGAAGCAGAAAGTTGGAAGATCGCAAACCAACCGGAAGAAGTAGAGGACAAACCAGATGAGGCGCCACTCAATTCTTTGCCCCGAAGACCTCTACCCGATGTCGCGAGGTTACCACTGTGTCAGGTCGATGCTTCCTGGATAAGTAACGGCCTGGTGAGTGGGCTTGGGTGGAGTGTGAAGGATGATAGGGGCGGTGAGATCTTTGGCCTTCACGGCTGTCGTAGAAGCCTTTCGGCCCTTCATGCCGAATTGGAGAGTCTGTTATGGGCTATGTCTTGTGTGCTAGAGAGACAAATCTTATCTGTTCACTTTCAGACCGATTGTTCGGAGTTGGTAAGCATGTATGAATATCCATCGGATTGGCCATCCTTTTCATCAGAGTTGGAAGCCCTTCGTATTCTTTGGGGAAACTTTCTGGATTTCAATCTATCACATATCCCCAGAAGTTTAAATGTCTGAGCAGATAGTCTTGCAAAAGGAGCTCGAGCAAGAGATAGTTTTTTTCCCAGATCATTCATAACGAGCCAGTTGACAATGGTTTCAGGATCATCTCCTTAACGGGCCAAATGTGATGTAGTAACTGGGTTGTGGAAAAAAAAATTGTATTGGATGTTATGTTTAATATCAATGTTTTTGCGTTTAAAATATTTATATTTTATTCAATTTCTTTTTGATGTAATCTCTTCTACATCAATTGTGTCAAATAGTCTAATTTTCTCTCAAGATAATAAAGGACTAAAAATCTACTATTTTAATTTTATATGAAAACGTAATAGTTCACTTAAAAATATACTTAAAAATATACGTTGAATATTAAAGAGAAATATTTATTTGTTCTTCGATCTTCATATTCTTTTTATTCTTGTAAATCTTACTAATATAATATTTGTTAACTTTCTCAATTTACTATATTAAATTGTTTTGGTTATATATATCTTGATTCCATCTTTTTTTTTTAGTAAAAAAATCATGTATGATATTTTTATGTGGACATCATTCTTTAAATATTATTTGTGTTTTATAATTTTATTAGTTGGAGTTTTATATAAGATTATTTAAAATTTCTTAACTTATTCAATCTATTTTTTTTCACTTGCATTAAAATTTAATTATAATTTTAGTTGAAAAATGAAGTTTAATCACTTGAAAAAAATAGAATTGTGCATTTAAAAAGTTTTTTTTTATTATATAATATTTATAAATTTTATAGACTTAAATTTAATTTTAATTTCATTTTAATATAAATATATATTATTATTTATTTTTATTCTTTAATGTGTTTATTTACTTATAATTTTTAATGTATTTGCTTTAAAATTGATTAATTAATACTTTTATTAATATTATTAATGGACATGTGTCACTCTTTTTACTGCTGATGTGTTACTCAACTAGAGAGAGTTAATTGTGTTTTATATATAAGTTTTTATTAAGTTTGTTCGATCTCTATAGTCTTTTGGTATGAGATATACCGATTTAATAGTTACTAATCATATAATCGGTAATAATTAGCGGAATTGGAAGAGGCACGCTTAGCTCTTTCTGTACCACTTTCTCTTAACAATACTACTTATAGTTTCTGATTAATTTGTTATCATTTATCGTTCTCTGTTCCCATCAAGTATTTTTTTTACATAATGTCACCTAATGGACTTATTTTGTGTGTTAATTTTTGTTTCCCTTCTATGCGATCTTACTCTCTAATCTCTACACTTATAGCATGTTTTTAGAATGTTACAATACGTTCTTGAGAAATTTAAAGAAAGAAAGTTGGTCCAAAGTTAAGGACTGAAAGTAAATTTTTCATACAGCAAATGAAAAGAGCCATCAGTGATGACGTTTTCGCCGAAACGGCACGCAGTTTGCGAAACAATGGCGAGAATTTCAACGTTACCAATACTTTCTTTTTTCCGCGCTAAGTCCAGCAAGAAAACGACACGTGTCAATCGTGTTCCTTGCAATGGTCTAACACAAAAAGAGAAGGTGGCCACTTCGCAATTGCGATTCAACATTCAAAGGCTGGATGATTTCGTCGTCTTCTTTTTTCCATGGAATAACGTGTTTTAGCTTGTATCACATGGTGCTTTGTGTGACCAAACACCAACAAAAAGCTTCCAGACGATTGGACCATTACAAATCTGTCATTTTACGCTTTGTCGATCGCTTTTGGAAAATCAGGCCTGGGTCCTCGATTTCGGTGAGGGTTTGTCGGGGGCACAAAAGCTCAGTCTCTCGCTTTAATGCTCGCGCAATTTGATTCTCTGCCTTGGATCTGACAGTGATTTTACAGATTTTCAGGTGCCTTTTTCTGGGCTTTGGTTCTTTGTGGGTAAAAGTTTAAGCAAAATCTTAATTTTAGTTGCGTAATTAACCAATTCGACTTCTTTCACTCTCTGATTTGGTGTTTACACTAATATTTCTGAGTTTAATTCCTGGTATTGATGTATACTGTATTTCTGAAGCTTAAACTTTAATAGACTCCCAATTCTTGATTTCTATTTCTGGGTAGTCTTTGAACAAACGATTAATGTTGGATGACTTAACAGCTCCGATTCTCTGTTCTAGCTCAATTGGCTTGAGCTTATGGTTCAGTGTTATTGTTTGTAATGATCAAGCTGCTCTTTTTCAAGACATGACCTTTTGATTTGTTCAGTGCCTGCAGGACATTAAATGGGCAAGGTGGCTGCTACTGTTAGCAATCCGAGTTCAGACACCAAGAGAAATGTGGTCTCAAGTGTGTTTGATCCGGCACTCTCTCGATTCGTTGGATTCTCTCAAAAGCTTCAAACCTGTCTTAAGGTCTACACTCTGATTCCACTCATGCTTTAAATGCCCTGTGATGTTATCTTTCAAGGTAATGAAAAAAGCGTTTTGCTGTCTTTGTCACAGTCCCAGCTGAAGAATCTAACAGCTGATAAGCAAGGGATTGGTTCTTCATGGATGCAAGATAAAGAAAGCTCATCGAGCTCCATACAAATTGACCTGGATAAACAGTTAGATAGTTGGAGAGAAAACCCTTCGTGGACCGATCAGACCCCAGTGATTAAGGTGAGCAATAGACCTCAACAACACTGGTCTAATCAGAGCCAAAAAAGAATCTTGTTACATGACAAATGGTAAATTTTGGCAGGTGAGTATTCCAAAAGGATCGCTTTGCAATCTCAAAGCGGAAGTGAACGTTGGGTTGCCTCCTGACGCAGTATATAACATTGTGATCGACCCTGACAATAGAAGAGTCTTCAAGAATATCAAGGTACTTCCTATAATACCTCCTTCTCCATTAGAGTCAAGCTCCAGATTCATGAGCCTCAAAATACAGAGATTGTGGTGATCACCACATTGTAGGAGGTTCTGTCGCGGAAAGTTGTGGTAGATGAAGGATTAAGGCAAGTGGTGGAAGTAGAACAAGCAGCTTTGTGGAGATTTCTCTGGTGGTCAGGAACAATCTCAGTTCATGTTTTGGTAGATCAAAACCGAGCAGATCACTCTGTAAGACCTCTCCAGAGATCAAGTACAAAAGTCTTTTTCTTTAATGGTTGGTGAAAGGGAAACGTGTTTTTGCAGATGAGATTCAAGCAAGTGAAGAGCGGGTTCATGAAGAGATTCGAAGGAAGCTGGAAAGTTAAGCCATTGTTTGTGGACGAGCATATGTGCGATCGTCTGAAACCGAAAACCCTGGAGGAATATAACCATTGCACTGGAGGTAAAGGGAGGATCGGATCAAAGGTGACGCTGGACCAGCTAATACAGCCAGCGATTATTCCACCACCGCCTATTTCTTGGTATCTGAGAGGAATCACGGCCAAAACAACAGAGATGCTCATCCATGACTTGTTAGCTGAGACCGCTAGGATCCGCAATGGTTTTGCGACCGGAGAAACGGAGGATAGTGATGAGCAACGGATTGGGAAACCCGGAGATATAAAGGAAAGATGGGCTGCACATAGAAGAACATCAAGGAGACGGCGAAAAGAGTTGTGCTGATTCAGTTATTGATGAAAGAACTAAAACCATTCCATGGTTTTGGTAATAGAGAATGTTCATGGGTTTTGGTATCATTCAGGAATATGTGAAGCATAATATACATGTTTGTTGTGATAAGATTCTGATTCATATAAGTCTACACATCCATTCCTTGTTTAATAAGTTTACAGCCAACGGACGACAAGTAATGATATGAGAAATTTCAAATATTGAACACAACTCTAGAATTTATGTTCTTCATAATGAATACGCAAAAAACAAAGAAAGCAATAACACAATTATCAATCCAGGTTTCTTCAAATTTAAAATACATGAAAACTATTTAAAAGGGGTTCTTTCTAGTAAGATTTAGGTACAAGACATCTACTTGCACAATCAAAACATTCACATTCAGATAATATTTATAGTCTTCTCTTGCATCCAGAAAAATTCCCAACACACAGCAGGCAGAATCATCTCGATGCAATGCAGTTTTTACTTCATCACGCCTTCACACCACAAGCAATACGAAGGAAAAAATTTAGACATCGCAGGAAATAAAGAAATTTTTTGTTATTAAATTGTGTTTTTGAAACTTGTGTTATACCTTGCCGGCGATGTTGTTGGACAGCCAGTCCAGACCTTCGTAGAGCCCTTCACCAGAAGTGGCGCATGTGCTCTGAATGTACCTGTAGATTGCAAAAAAAAAAAAAAGAAAGGCATACACTTAGTACAAAAGAAATGTTTTGATTTTCGAGACTTGTTGGGATGTTTATTTACCAGTGACGCTGACGGAGGGAGTGAAGGCCAAGCTTATCTGTGATTTCAGCTGCATTCATCGCATTTGGAAGATCTTGCTTGTTGGCAAACACAAGCAACACAGCATCACGCAGCTCGTCCTGCAAAGAAAACCAGTAATAGAGTTGGTAAGTATATGACTTTCTGCATGGGTATGAAGAAATGAAAAACACTCTACAAATCATTATGTCTTAAAGGAATTCGATAGCTAGCAATCGAAATGGACCTCATTCAGCATCCTGTGGAGTTCATCTCTAGCCTCAACTACTCTGTCTCTGTCGTTGCTGTCCACGACGAAGATAAGACCCTGAGTGTTCTGGAAGTAGTGCCTCCACAAAGGACGGATCTGGATACAAGCAAAAAGTTAGTTTATTTGGTTAAAAGAAGTAGCAGAGAGAGACTACCCTTCTACAGTTATGTAAGACACAATCAGATAAGAATCCTCAGATTGTGATGCACAAAGAAGTGATATCATACCTTGTCCTGACCCCCGACATCCCACACAGTGAAACTGATGTTCTTGTACTCCACAGTTTCCACATTGAAACCTGTTGATCGTTTTCAGTTTATCACTAATCCAAGAATCCCATGGAAGTAACCGATTATGGTGTGAAGCTTACCAATAGTGGGGATGGTGGTGACTATCTCTCCGAGCTTGAGCTTGTACAGAATAGTGGTCTTACCAGCAGCATCAAGACCAACCATCAGAATTCGCATCTCCTTCTTGGCAAAAAGCCGGCTAAATAGCTTGGCGAAACTCAACCCCATCTTGCTCTACTGTCCAACCACAACGAAGCAGATAGAAGAGTGTCAAAACCTCATTCACATTCTATATCACGCGATTTCAATCATCGTTACTAACATAAAACCTTAGATTATGCATCTATAAAGCCAATTCACGAGATCAATTCACTCTAATTATAAGGAACATAAAAATTAGCGAGATCAGGCAGATTCAAACAGAGATTGAAAACGTCCCCAGACTTCGTGATCTCTCTGAACAGATCAGATCGTTAACGTCTCTGAAGCTATCGGAAACAATTACGACGGGAATAAAGCTGGAAGCAAATTGAATTTCAACAGATCCACACTGTCTTGAATGCTGAATGTCAGATCGTATAAGAATCCTGGACATATGTTTATATATATATATATATTGAAATCTAATCGCATTCTTCTTCATAGATGATCGCATCAAACTCAATGGAATTCTATCCCCAACCATCGAAATTCAAAATGGACACGCCGTGGAAATGAATCAGCAGCAAATCACATACAGATCTAAGCGAATAGCATAAAATTGAGAATGCATGAGCACAGATCCAGATCGAAAAGCGTACCTCTGAAGAAAATACCCGATAGATCTGAGAGAGAAAGAAACCGCGAAGAAACGGAGACCCGAAAAGAAATTTGAACGAGAGAGAGAGAGAGAGAGAGAGAAGCTTAGGAGAAACGCTAAATGCGCGACGACGCCGAGATGCAAAAGTGGGAAGAGGAATTTTATAAGGCTAAAGGGTACCGGCTTGTACGTCGCTTTTCACGCCAATTTACAAAAAAATGCCATTGGAGTTACGAAATTACCCTTTTCGAATCTTCTATGACCGAGTGCAGGTGTTCGTCGCTCGTCAAGGCCTTCCTCCTATCAAGCCAATTAAAATCTGACACGTGAACAATAGCTCTTTCCTTAGGTGCTACTGCATCTCCTGCGAAATGTACAAGTATACGTTGTTTGTTGATGTTGTGTGGCCAATAGGAAAGTGCCAAGTCATAACTAACGATCTATATTTATTTATTTTCTTATGTATTTTCTATCATCTTCCAGTTTTTTGGTGATCATAGATTCACACGGATGAGTAAACAATCTGATTTCGGTTTCAATTTCTATATTCCGTTTGACAATTTCTAGTTTGGTTTAACGTAGGTTTCAAAATATTCAGTTTTAAAATAATAAAACCAACCAATATATCATAAAAACCGATTGGGTTTAAGATTTCAGCTTGATTTTAGTTTGGTACGTTAGTTTCTCCATTCCGGTGACTTGTAGTTGTAATCTGCATGTATGATGTATCTACTTCAATTATAGGCTATAGCCTAAATATGTCAGTTTCTAAGATGAAAGCGCACGACTACGAATATAAACATTACATATATTAAAAAAAAAAAAAACACACACACACACACAACAACTGTCAAAATTCGATTACCTTAAAACTCATCATGAGCAATTTCAGTTTTTTATTCTCCGACCATAACAGAATTAACAGTTTTGCCAAATACTGAGGTTGGTCAAAGCCCTTGTCGTTATGCTTCTATTTTTCTGTTTTTGCCTTCCAAATTGACATTGTCGAGGACAATGTGACTGACTATTGTGCTTTTTGTGGTTCCAGTTGTGTTTCAGATTATCTCGATTATGTGAACCGTCTATATCTGCAAAAGAAAGGGAGAAAAAATGACTAAAGATTAATTTCTTTCTTTCTTGAGATTTCTTGAGCTAATCTTAAGTCATTGGTTTTGTGAAAAAGAAACCTAGTTTTGAAAAGTTGATGGGGGAGTTGCAGTAGAATTGTATGATTCATAACAATACACTAGATTATTTACTACCTAATTACCTATTGAGAAATCAATTATTAGAGATCTTGAAACCTGGTGAAGCTTTTAAATTCATAATAAGCCTATTGGTTTTTCTTTTCTATAATTTTGCTTTTCAAGCAACTCTATCGTATTAAGTATTAAACCCGTCTTAGCCCAAATCGAAATCTCATATATCATTTTCTGATAGTTCATTTCCTTAGAAGCTCAACACCCTAAATTCTATAGCAGAACACACATATGCATTTGCAATAACATTTGATCTTATAAAATTTTATGACTTGCAAGACTCATTCAGCCTCCAACACATCTTAAGTACAGCAATTGCATAATATTATGGTTCTTTATCAATTTCAAAATAAGAAACCTTCTGTTTTGAGTGACTAGCGAGATAACTAATGTCATGCATAAATCCATCAAAATACATTGCAACTACTACGTCGGAGTCTAGCATAGAGTTCTGTTCCACCTAGAATCACCAAGTTTTGTTTTTACCAATTGAACTATTATTATCTCGTGTCTTACTATAACACCTCCCACCATTGTTTTCATTCTCAAAAGCCTCTTTATGCAGTCCATTTATGAATTAGTTTGACGAACTTGTTTCACAATTAAAGCTTAAAAGCAGCAAGAAAAAGAATCATTGAGCATTTGAATCGGTTCGTTCTGAACTTTGATAAATCTATAGTAAATGGAGGCCATGTCAAATGATTTATAATAATTAATATTTGGGATGTTTTTTTTTATCTAAAGTTACAAAATAAAATAAAACCAAGTGATAAAAAGATTGTGTTTTGTTTTCCATTAACTCTTTAACAATGTCAGCTTTTAGAAAATTTTCTTTGCTCTTTGCTCGTTAAAATATATGTCAATTTTTTATTTTCCTTAAAATAGGTTAAATATTAATTCACATCTCTTTTTTTTTGCTAAAAAATTCACACCTTAAATTTTGTTTTGTTTTGCTTAGATGAAACTGCTATAACCTGTAGTTCACGCATTTTTAACCTTAATTAGTACACTAATTTTCTAATCGCTCTTTAGTTTTTATTTACCATGAAAACTCTATAGGAATGCCTAATTATATTATAAATTGTAAATTGTTTAGGATAAATAAAATAAAAACTATATTGTAAATCAGCAGACGGTCTTATATAAAAGTGAGAAAGAGAGGAGACCTTAGCACCAATGGGAAAGAAACAGACAACTACCTTTTGTTTTTTTGTTCTTCAAGATAAACAAGTATTAGTACTTCATTTTTCAAGCTCATCGTGACTTCCATTTTTGTAGATCTTTAATCATTTCTTCTTAAGTCACCGCTTCGTGACTTCCTCTAATTTCAGGTTCAATTGGTAACTATCAACCGCTACGATTAAAATTAAAACTGCTTTGTAAATTACTAATCAACTAATATTAGCAAAAGACGAACAAAGAATTACAATAAAGCAATGCAATTCGAAGGACACAATTCCAATTGTGATAAGATACTACAGTATCTGTGAAAATGTGCAATCAAAGAATTATAATAAAGAGATAGCTTTCAGAACATTAAGAAACAATACGAATGGTATAAATTTTGATGGTCTATATATCTCGATTTGGTTAATATCTAAATAATAAAAATTTCCACTAAAAAAACTTCTACAATATCGAGTTTTAAAGTCTAACCCTTTTTGTGTATTATTTTTTTTCACTAAAAAATAATTTGTACAAAAGAAAAGATTCAAATGATATTTCACTTTGAAAGAGAATCTATAACTTCCGAGAAGATGTGGTAACATAAAAAATAAATATAGGTTTTGATTGGTAACTTTGCGGAACAGTGGAATTGCGGAAAAAATCTTGCGGAATAGATTAAGCAACTTATAAGTCGCTTTTCTATAGGATGATTTTTCCTTTATATTTTTGTTAAGCAAAAATGTAGTCTGCATTATTGTGTGTATTCGCGAATTTTTATTAATTGACAAAAAAACCTGCGTAAAATGCAATTCCACCATTCTGCAAATTACTAATCAGAGCCAAAGCGTGGAAAATAATCTAATACAATATTTAATAAGATGATTTTGTTATTAATTTACTTTTCAACTAAAGACTATGTCCATACTTAGATTTCCACGGCAAAGACTAGCTTCGTTGCCGGTTTTGAGGAAGTTGATTTCATTCTCGCGCTCTTTATCTCTCTTTCTCTATCTTTCTCCGGTGTCTCCGGCCATCTTCTCCTTCTCCGGTCTCTCCTCCGGCGAAAATTTTCAAGTTTACTGGGAAACTTACATTTGCAAGAGCACGAAAAGCCGATACCAGCTGAAACAGTGAAGCTTTACCCTTGATTCTCGGAGCAGCAATTCATCGGAATTTCCCAACTCCGAAGCTAGGGTTCGAAATTCTTCAGATAATCTCACCATTTCTTTTCGCAAGAAAATCTGATATACCCAAAAAAAAAGAAGAAAAATTGGAGGTGGGTTTTGGAGAGTTAGCGCGGAATTTGATGGTTAGAACGGCGGAGACTTCACGTAGTCTTGTTTGCTTAGGATGAACGGTGCTCCGTTTTGCGATCGGAGAGGGTTGCTTCATTTTGTTAAAACCTCTCTCTCATGGAATGGCAGATCTTGTGAGCTACGGTAATGTCGAGCGTGACATCGAGCAGGTACTCTCTCTCTCTCTGCTTGCCCTGAGCTTTATAAATGTTTATGTATTGATGAACACAAGATCTTCGTTTTGTTGCTTCTGGGATATGTGATTCCTAATTTTGCTTTTTGAATGCTGATAGATGAAAATTACATGAATTTGTAGTCTAGGAGATGAAAATAATCATGAATCCTCTATTGGTTGATATTTTTGCACTTGAAATTCTGTTTCTTCAAGGGTTTAAAAAACATTTTGAGGAAAAAGAGATCCAATGATGATGTGATCTGTTTTAATGAACAAAAAAATCTCTTTCCTTGGATGATAAAAGGGGAGGAAAACACTCTTACGTGTTATTTTGATATCCACTTAAAGGACTTGTTTTTTCTCACCTAGATCTTCAAAAGCCATTTCCCTATCTTTTGCAGGCTCTAATTGCTTTGAAGAAAGGTGCTCAACTCTTAAAATATGGTCGGAAAGGGAAGCCTAAGTTTTGTCCGTTTAGACTCTCCAATGTGAGTATGCTTTAAAAAGACATGAATACATTTGGTTATCGGTGAAGACTGGAGCTCTTTCTTGCTACTTTCTTGTGCAGTTTTGGTGTTGAGATATGAAAAAGCCATCTTTGAACCCTGATTTTTGTTGTTGATAGCTTACCAACTTTGGACATGTCATTTGCAGGATGAGACCTCTTTGATCTGGATTTCAAATGGTGGAGAAAAACGTCTGAAGTTAGCAACTGTATCTAAGATTGTTCCAGGACAAAGAACTGTAACGTCTCTTAAAATTTCAGTTTCTGTTTCGATGCAGCAGCATACAAAGGCAATCTTTTGTTAGTAAAATATTATTGACTTTGATCATGTTTATAATATCAGGCTGTTTTCCAACGTTACCTTCGCCCTGAAAAGGATTATTTATCTTTTTCTCTCATATACTCCAACAAGAAGCGGACTCTTGACGTGGTTGGTGAATGAAACTTAGTTGCTATTCTCATCAGTTTGTATTTGTCTGCCTCTGTAACTGAATAGGTTGCTTTCTTTTCAGATTTGCAAGGAAAAAGTTGAGGCAGAGGTGTGGATTGCAGGCCTAAAAGCTTTGATATCTGGTCAGGGTGGCCGCTCTAAAATTGACGGCTGGAGTGACGGTGGCCTCTCTATTGCTGTAAGTAATAAGTATGCCTAAACCTGACGGATTCATCAATATTGATGTTGCAAATGGATCTCTCTCTTCTCAAAATTAGTCTCATTTAGATTTTCCTAAAGTTTGTATTGTTTCGTCTTCATCATTTTCAGGACAGTCGAGACTTGACATTAAGCAGTCCTACCAACAGCTCGGTTTGTGCTTCTCGAGATTTCAACATTGTTGACACTCCTTACAGTTCAACTACTTTTTCGAAGACTTCTAGAACTGAGAACTCTGTCAGTTCTGAAAGGTCACATGTGGCATCAGAGAGCCCAAATATGTTAGTACGTGGGCCTGGATCGGACGTGTTCCGGGTTAGTGTCTCTAGTGCTCAAAGCACCTCAAGTCATGGTTCTGCTCCAGGTGATTGTGAAGCTCTAGGTGATGTTTATATATGGGGTGAAGTGCTATGTGATAATGTTGTCAAAGTTGGGGCTGATAAGAATGCTAGTTGTGTTGGTTCAAAGTCTGATGTTCTGGTTCCAAGGCCATTGGAATCTAATGTTGTTTTGGATGTCCACCAAATAGCATGTGGTGTTAAGCATGCTGCTCTAGTATCTAGGCAAGGTGAAGTATTTACATGGGGTGAAGAATCTGGAGGACGTCTTGGGCATGGAATGGGGAAAGATGTTACAGGGCCACAGCTTATTGAGTCTCTACCTGTTTCTAGTGTTGATTTTGTTGCCTGTGGTGAGTTCCATACATGCGCTGTTACAATGACTGGAGAGATTTACACATGGGGTGATGGAACACACAATGCAGGACTTCTTGGCCATGGTACTGATGTAAGTCACTGGATACCTAAGAGAATATCAGGTCCTCTTGAAGGTCTTCGCATTGCTTCCGTGTCCTGTGGACCGTGGCACACTGCTTTGATAACATCAACTGGACATCTTTTCACTTTTGGAGATGGGACATTTGGTGTTTTAGGTCATGGTGACAGGGAAACTGTATTTTACCCGAGAGAAGTCGAATCTTTATCTGGTTTGAGGACTATTGCCGTTGCATGTGGTGTATGGCATGCTGCTGCAGTAGTAGAGGTCATTGCAACTCAGTCAAGTTCAAGTATACCTTCAGGAAAGCTGTTCACATGGGGTGATGGTGACAAGAACCGTCTTGGTCATGGAGATAAAGAGCCTCGGCTTAAACCGACATGTGTATCAGCCCTAATCGACCACAGCTTTCACAAAGTTGCATGTGGACATAGTTTAACAGTTGGATTGACCACGTCGGGAAAAGTTTTCACGATGGGTAGTACAGTCTATGGTCAACTAGGGAATCCCACTGCTGATGGGAAGCTTCCTTGCTTAGTAGAGGATAAACTAACTAATGATTGTGTCGAAGAAGTAACATGCGGAGCTTATCATGTAGCAGTTTTAACATCTCGTAATGAAGTGTTTACATGGGGCAAGGGTGCCAATGGGAGGTTAGGCCATGGAGATATGGAGGACCGTAACGCACCCACTCTTGTTGAAGCTTTGAAAGAGAGACATGTAAAATATGTTGCTTGTGGTTCAAACTTTACAGCAGCAATATGTCTTCATAAATGGGTTTCTGGTACTGAGCAATCTCAATGTTCAGCTTGTAGGCAGGCTTTTGGATTCACACGAAAAAGTCACAATTGTTACAACTGTGGACTTGTCCATTGCCATTCATGCAGTTCCAAGAAATCACTTAAAGCTGCTATGGCTCCTAATCCAGGAAAGCCTTACCGTGTCTGCGATTCATGTTATATTAAACTGAGTAAACTATCAGAAGCTAGTATTGATAGCAGGAAGAATGTCATGCCACGCCTTTCCGGTGAGAACAAGGACAGATTGGATAAAGCTGAGCTAAGATTGGCTAAATCTGGAATACCGTCAAAGATAGATTTGATCAAGCAGCTAGATAACAGGGCAGCTAGACAAGGAAAGAAGGGGGACACATTCTCTCTTGTCCGCACTTCTCAAACACCTCTACTGCAGCTTAAGGATGCTTTTAGTAATGTGGCCGAGTTACGGCGTGGGCCACCAAAACCAGCCGTAACTCCATCTGGAGCAAGCTCAAGGTCTGTGTCACCTTTCTCAAGGAGATCTAGTCCTCCTCGTTCAGTCACTCCCATTCCTTCGACGGTTGGACTTGGTTTTTCAACAAGTATAACTGAGAGTTTGAAGAAGACAAATGAGCTTATGAATCAGGAAATGGTCAAATTGCGTGCCCAGGTTCGATCCCTTTAATCTTTACTCTACATATATCGAACTCCATTGCTTCCTCAATTCATTTATCCGACACTGTTTCCACAAACTCTCATGGTCTAGTTTTTAAAAAAGAATCTTGGATGTTGTTCAGGTCGAGAGCCTGAGGCACAGGTGTGAGGTCCAAGACTTTGAAGTTCAGAAATCTGTGAAGAAAGTACAAGAAGCAATGAAACTGGCGTCAGAGGAGTCCGCAAAATCTGAAGCTGCAAAAGAAGTTATAAAATCTCTTACAGCACAGGTTTTGGCTTGAGTACTCTCTCTTATATAATAGTTCTCTTAACCGTTTTTGTATTTGACAATTCTCTGATTCCTCGCTTAATCTTTTTTTTTCAGCTAAAGGATATAGTTAAGCTGTTACCACCAGGTGCTTACGAAGCTGAGAGCACACGGACTGCTAATCTGCTGAACGGGTTTGAGCAAAACGGATTTCACTTTAATGGACAACGTGCATCACGATCTGATTCAATGAGCGACACCTCTCTTGCATCGCCTTTGGCTCTGCCCTCACGTTCAATGAATGGACTCTGGCGAAACTCGCAGTCGCCAAGAAACACAGACGCAAGCACCGGAAGAGACGAGCTTCAAAGCGACGGGGTTAGAATCAGTAATGGTTTCTCAGAAGATGGCCGAAACTCAAGAAGCTCAGCAGCAACATCAAATGCTTCTCAAGTGGAGGCGGAGTGGATCGAACAGTATGAACCAGGTGTCTATATAACACTACTGGCCCTAGGTGATGGAACCAGAGATCTCAAACGTGTCCGCTTTAGGTAACATTTATTAGAATCTCTTTACACTTCTTGTCTCCAATGCATTCCTAGAGATCAAGATTTGATAACACCAATGTGGTTTGTTTGTAGCCGGAGAAGATTCAGGGAGCAACAAGCAGAGGCATGGTGGTCAGAGAATCGTGAGAGAGTTTACGAGAAGTACAACATTCGCGGTACGGATAGATCAAGTGTGCAATCTCAATTCCAGACATGAACTAAAAAACAACAGCGAACGCAAAAGCATAGGTAGCAGTTTAACTTTTATTTTGCAGAGTATATAGAGAATCTATCGTGTTATTGACAAAGAGTTTGTCGTGAGTTTGATGTTTTTTTTTTTTTGTTTAACTAATCGACTCAAACCTGATGATAACTATTTTAATGTGGAAATCGTAAGTTAAACTTACATTACATGATGTTTTACTTCTTCACTCTGGTATCTTCATCAATCTTATCCTTCGTCTCTCTCTCAACTGCATGCCGTTTAGATTTTTATCTTCCACACTGCGCTCAGTTTTCTAAGTATGCTTTAGTCAACTTCATGCCGTTTAGCTTTCTCTTTACTACACAGCGATCAGTTCCACTTTCTTGAGTATCATCATCATCATCGTCGTCGTCTCCTTCGCCTTCCATCAACTTCCCCAAATCAGCCATGGAAGCAAGACTCTCCGAAACTCTTGGCCTCCGGTCTCCGAATCTCAATCACTGCCTTGTTCCTAACGAATTCAATTCTCTCTTCACTCATTTCTCCAATCTCACCTCCTCCGTCCAAATCCCAACCAAAACCAAACTCTCTCGAAAGTCGCCGAAATTCTCAGAATCCACTGCAAGTTTAGGAAGATCCGTATTGTTTAGCCCACCATTTGCATCTGCGTCAGTCTCGGATTCCAGACCGGATTTTCTGAAATGGATCAAACCTGCATCACGAAGCAGTCCAAAGATTCAGACGCTTATGAAGCATCTCTCCGTCTTCGAACGTGCGCTAATCGGAGCAGGAGCCGGTGGAATCGCCGGCGCGTTCACATACGTTTGTCTTCTCCCATTGGACACAATCAAAACAAAGCTCCAGACCAAAGGCGCGTCTCAGGTGTACAGTAGCAGCTTCGACGCCATAGCAAAGACTTTTCAATCCAAAGGGATTCTAGGTTTCTACAGCGGCGTCTCCGCCGTGATCGTCGGCTCAACGTTTTCCTCCGCCGTCTACTTCGGCACCTGCGAGTTTGGTAAGTCTCTCCTCTCCAAATCCATGGGGTTCCCTCCGGTTCTCATCCCACCAACTGCTGGCGCCATGGGAAACATAATCTCATCGGCTATAATGGTCCCAAAAGAGCTCATCACACAGAGAATGCAAGCTGGAGCTAGCGGAAGATCTTACCAAGTTTTGCTTAATATTCTTGAGAAAGATGGAATCTTGGGGCTTTATGCTGGTTACTCTGCAACATTGTTGAGGAATTTACCGGCAGGTGTGTTAAGTTACTCGTCGTTTGAATACCTGAAAGCTGCGGTCTTGGAGAAAACGAAGCAGAACAATCTTGAGCCGTTGCAGAGCGTTTGTTGTGGCGCATTGGCTGGTGCTATATCTGCTTCGATAACTACGCCATTAGATGTGGTGAAGACGAGGCTCATGACACAGATTCAGGTGGAGGCAGTGAATGAGCTTGGTGCTGCTATGTACACCGGTGTGGCTGGGACGGTGAAGCAGATACTGAAAGAGGAAGGTTGGGTCGGTTTTACACGAGGCATGGGGCCTCGAGTTGTTCATAGCGCTTGTTTCTCGGCCATCGGGTATTTTGCATTCGAGACTGCGAGGCTTACCATCTTGAATGAATATTTGAAGAGGAAACAAGATTCTGTAGCTACTGTTGATTCTGATTCCTGAGTTTTGGTTTTGATATGGTTTTAGATGAACACAGAGATAGAGAGCTTATTCTTGTTTCTCAATAAAGCATTGAGCTTTATGTATGTGGCTTGTTTGTTTCTCAGACAATTTCAGAAAGTAAATCACTTCAAAAGATCAAGCTACCAAGTAAGCATTCCTTTTCAATACAAATAGACTGTATATCAAATACTACAAATGATTGTCAATCTCATAGTATTTGCTTCATTCAAGCTAATGTGTGTATATGTCATTTGCTAAGATGAATGTGTACAACTATATAACGTGTACAAACAACTCTCACTACAACGACCGTCAAAATCCGATCACTTCAAAGCTCGTCATGAGCATTTTCACTTTCTTCTCCGACAATAACACTTTCTGTGAAATACTGAGTTTGGTCTATGCTCTTGTTGTCATGTGAATCCAGACAATCCGCAGAGGGATGAACCACTCCATAACCAAACCCTTCAGCAGAGTTACAATATGCTTCTACTGTTTTGTCTTTGCCCTCCAAATTGACATTGTTGAGGACAATGTGGCTGCAAGGTACTGCGTCACTGCACGCGAATTTGATGGCTTTTGCGCTCTTTGTGGTTCCGGTTATGTTTCTATACATTACCTCGGTGATGTGAACCGCTGATGTCTGCAAAACAAGGAAAAGAAAAGACCCTTGATTAATATCTTTCTTGAGGTTTATTGAGCATATCTTGAGTCAATGGTTTTGTGAAGAACAAACCTGGTTTTGACAAGTTGATGGCGAGTCACAGTAGAATTGATCGATTATAATCGGATTTGCAACGTCCTGCATCTCGACGTTCTCAAAACGCACACCCTTAACGTAACCATTACCACCCTGTTTTGAAGATTATCGTTTCTAAGTCCTGAAGCTCTCAGAAAGTAAAGTGGTACAAGATCAAGCAAGGATCAAGAATTGAGATTTAACCTGCCATGTCTTGATTCTTAGACCATTAGTTGTGTTCTTTAGAAAAGCAGTGTCCAACACAATTGCTGTGACGGTTGCTGTCGAGTTTCCTCTTCCAAGGCTTCCAATACTGCAGAACAAGAAATTGCAACCAAGAATTATAAACTTGATTACTTGAAACTTATGTAGGTTAGAGACTGTTTACCTGATTCCATGTCCTGGTCCACAATAGATCCTCTTCATCTTTATCCGCGCACTTTCATTCACAATTGAAACGCAATCATCTCCTGTTATTAAGTTTTTAAAGTGGTCAGCTATAATATTTTGAGTTTAGTACTATCATAGCAGATTAGTATTTTTGAGATAAATAGAAGTGGACCTGTGCTGATTTTGCAGTCTTGGATTACAACATTAGTCGATGCAGTGATATGGATTCCATCAGTATTGGGACTGTCTCCTGGAGATGTGACCATAACTCTAGAGATCCGAACTGTATTTGACCGAGCTATGCTCAAATGCATCTGCTGGCTGTTCCGGATTGTTAGGCCTCTCACGTACACAGCTGAACTTGAATCTATAGTTACCGCCTGCGAATACAAAGTGTTCGTTATAATAATAACCAAACCGAAACTTAACGGTCCAAGAACACAAAAGGGCAAAGACTTCATACCGTAGGTGCTCCTATGCAAGGCTACAAGAGAAAACAAGAAAGATATGTGTCAGATTTTTAGTACTCTTGAAGAAGAAACTTCAATTTATGTTGTAGAAAAAGATGTTACGTTAGACTTGTTCTTCTTGCAAGAAGCAGCCCACCATTTGGTACCAGAACCATCTATAACTCCATTTCCTTGGAATACAACACCTTGGAGTTTTGAAAATCTGAGCCAATTCCTTTGGAATCTCGGGTCCCATTCGCTAGGATCATCTGGTGCCACGATTGTTCCATCAATCTATAGAAATCATTCAGAAAATGGAATAAGACAAAATTGTGTATAGCTAACATCTACGATATTTTTTTTTTTAGATATATCAATCATAGATTCAAGAGGTTGAACAATGTTAAAAATTAACCTGAACGATCAAATTTTCTTGACATGGACCATTAAAATTCGTTGCATTTACTAAGTAGTGTCGTCCTTGTGGAACCAGTAACACGGATCTTGGTGCAGAGCAGGCTATCTTCCAAGCGCTTGTAAATGCCTGGTTATAGGAAGAACAAAAAGTGTGGATTTGGAGTTTTTTGTGTGTCTATTCCATCAGCATTTTTAATAAGATTCGAGCATAAAAGATGTCAATCAAACGCACCTGAGTATCATCAGAAACTCCATCTCCAGCTGCACCGAAGCTATCCAAATTCACCAGGTTCTTACCAGAAAATTGGCTTGTTATCGAAGAGAAGTCAAAGAACGCCACATCATCATCAATATCATCCTGAGGCACGTCGAGGTTCTCAAGCTCCCCAAGAATGTCAAGCTCCCTATACGGCGTTTCTCCTGAAGCTCCACAAGAAGTTACCATCAACAGAGCCAACAGTGAAACAGTGAAGAGCTGATTCATCTTATGCTTCAAGAAAACGTTTTTTTCTGTTTGTATTGTTAAGTAATGAGATGGATTTTGATTTGTAATGAGAGGATAGATAGTTCTGAACTTATAAGCGGAGTAGTTAAGTGGGATAATTGTGGGTTTTTGTATTGGCTTGGCTTAAAAGTAAATGAAGGAAAGCCCTTGTTTATCAACACATCTAAACTTAAAGCACAAGGAATGTGCTTTTCCACTTCTTTTTGCTTTACTCCAAAACGTCTACACAGATTTTCATGGTCAACGTATTTGTGAATGTTTGGTCCCTCATGAGATCTAGAAGACGAAACAAGAAAGAAAGACGCAGAAAGCTTTGCTCTTTTGACGTCAAGCTTTTTTCATTTTAGGACCATAATAATAAGTAGGAGAAACGAAAAGCAAGTTGCAGTTGTTGTTCCATAACAAAAAGATATAGGAGTACTATAGGTCAACGAGTTTGTTAGACCAACCTTGCAACTGAAGAAATCATTGCAGATCTATAGAAAATGTGCGAGCTTTGCAAATTGATTCTTTCTTCTTTAATTTTAAGCAGATGCAATGTATCCAGTGTCTTATCATATTGTTTATCATTTGTTTGTTTGAAATCACGTTTGAACTGAGCCTCTACAATGTATATGTAGAGGTCCAAGTTTTTAATTTGCAGTGGGTTTTAAAATCCTGTGCACCAAAATTGATTTTAACGTGATTCCAAAATGATTGTTGATTAAGTTGTGGATAGATAGATTGTGAGTGATGGTATGTTTTTATTCTGTAGATAAGTACCTATCTTATTTGGGACATCAATCTCTCATCTTACTTATATGTTACTCCAAACATATGACGCTAATCTTGCTTAGTTGCAAAGGTTAACTTCACAATAGCTCACAAAATCCTAAATTTCCTCAACTATGGTCAGAAAAAAAGGACTCTACAATTAGAAACAAACAGAAATGTGCGAACACAATCTTGGAACTTATGCTAGAGAAGACGAAGAAGAGCAGCCATTCGATAACCATTCCAAGATGAGTCCAATACCCTCAAATACACATTTCTTGTACCACAAGGTTTCCTCTGCCCAACCATACCCTAGCAAGTAGCAACGAACAATAATCAAAACGCAAGAGGCAGCCAAAAGACCCAATAATTACAGCGACTTGCCTTTGGGAATATCATAAATTCGACTCATATCTTCTATGATAAACAAAGAACAACTCTACGAGCTTACCTTATTGAAATTTTGTTTTATATATAAGTAGCGTTTTAGTTTTGTAAACCATTGTTAAACAAAGTAAGAACAATGTCCATATCATTCTTCTTCAGGCACATTCCGATCTCGACGCCACCTGATTCTTCACGTCTCTCTGCCATTGAGATTGCCTCTCCTTTAATGGACATGACATCAACCTTAACGGGCTTTCCCCACCCGAAATCCGACTCGTATACACCCAACCGGGTCGACCCGGCAACCGACCCGAACTGTGAGCTCTTTCCCTGAGAATCGAATCCAACAGCGAAACCTTCCGCGATCGTCTCCATCTTTCGTGAAAACAAGCCTTTGACCAAATCGCTGAGGATCTCAACAGCCGTAACAAATCCTCTCTCCTCCGCGAAATCCGCCGCCTTACGGTTATAACAACCCGCCGGAAACATGCAATTTCCGAAGTACGTCGCCGGAAGCGGCGGATCCAACCGCTCTCTGAAATCTCCGACGAAAATAAAACCCACGGGTCTCTCTCCGTTTCCTCCTCGAGCCTTCACGGCGCATGTCCACACGTAAGCGTAGGCGATGACGAAAGTCGACAAGTCGAGCGTGGCTAAAACGGCGTCGTCGTGATCGACTTCTCCGGCGGGGATTGGGCTCAGGCTTCTCGTGTTGGTTGTTTCGTTCCCTTTCAGAGATCTCACGATCTGGATCATCTGTTCATCGAGTCCGGTGAGACCTCTGATCGATGATCGATCAAGAGACGGAGTTAGATTCTCCGGAAGAGAGAAGACTCTGTTTTGTTTATACAAGTGAGCCCAAGCTTTGATAAACATGCTTGACGTTTTCCCGTCCAAAACGGCGTGGTGTGCTACGACGCCGATGGATAATCCTTGGTTCGGGAACAACGTGATTTGCAGAGAGAAGGCGGAAGCTGAGTCATCGGAAACCGGTAACTCCGGTAGCAGAGTGTTTAACTCGGAGACTGGACGCTGTCCGTAGCCGGAGAGAAGAGTAAAATCAGCGTCGGTCTCGGCGATGGTTAATGAAACGGCGTCGTTTTGAGAGACGACGATGCTCGGTTTGGGTTCGGTTTGGTCCCAGGTGATGCGGCCGGAGAGAGGGAGGTAGTTGCGGAGGACGAGGGAAAGGGAGAGCTTGAGCTTGGGGAGGATGATGGAGTGGAAATGCTCACGAGTCGACTCGGTGAGTCTGTAGAAGAAGACTCGTTTGACTGGGTGGAATAGTAGCCATGGTAAATCGAAGAAAGTCAACGGGATTGTGAGCGAGTTGGTTGAGTTTAGAACTGAGTCCGAGTCGGCGGCGGGGGTGACTCGGGCAACCTCGACGACGAGTAGTGTCATTGGTGAGGACAACGAAGAAGGTGAAAATCGATCGAAATTGCCGAAGAAAAAACAGAAGGAGATTGAATGGGATCACACAATAGTATTAAACTTGAATATACTATGGCTTACATGCGCCGCTACACGCGGGCTCTATATATTTAAAGTTTAAACCTTAAATTTTCTTTTCTTATAGATATCTACTTCTGGTTATTCGACGACCAAAAACAAAATATACCTACTTTTGGTTGTTCTGACCTAAACACCAAAGTTTTTTTTGGTAAGAAAATTTTTTTTTGGTAAGACCTAAACACCAAAGTTATGACTATGTATTTACTCACTGTAGTAGATATTTTGTCTTGCATTCTTTAGTTGTTAATAGTAAGAGCTTTGGTCTTCTTAAAAGAAAAGAAAATTTTTTTGAGTCAAGTAGAAATTTTTTATATTTGTTGTGCTATGGAGATCAAGAGAAGATGCAATTTTAGTGAAATAGATTTTTTGGATACTTGTATGGTCAAAAAAAATATTAAACGGATATAAATCTGGAGAATTTTTTGTAGTTTTAGAAAGAAAAAACAAACAAAAAATATATATACTTATTTGTGTACTTATTTGTCGCGCACACAACGAGTTTCACAACAAGGCTTTGATTGGTAATTTTGCGGAATTACAGAAAAAAATCTTGCAGAATAGATTAAGCGACTTATAAGTCGCTTTTCTGCGGAATGACTTTTCCTTTGTATTTTTGTTAAGCAAAAACGCAGACTGCGTTTTTGTGTATATTTTTTCATTACGCAGATTTTTGTTGATTGGCAAAAAACCTGCGGAATTGTGTTTAAAAACGCAATTCTGCCATTCCGCAGGTTACCAATCAGAGCCCAAGTTTCACAGTTTTTCGCTTACGTGTCAGCTTTAGAATGAGTTTTGACAGTAAAAAGACCGTTTAACCATATTTAACAATTACATGTCATTTTTTTATTGGTTCTTAACTGATGATGTGTAAAAAAAACTTAAAACAAACTGTTCTAAATTATTATGGTTTAATGTTTAATTCTGTAGTCAACCAAACCGTTTTAAAAATTTGATAAAACCGAAATTTAGAAAAAAAAATTAATAAAAACGTTTTAAAAAAACACAAAAAAACGTTTTTTTAAAACACAAAAATGGAATCTATATCTTTTAGTAATTACCATTTTTTATGTTTCCAAAATTTAGAAAAAATCTAACAAAAATGTTAAAAGAAACAAAAAATAGAATCTATATAAAAAGTAATTGAATGTCGTTTTAAAAAAAAATCAAAATTTAACAAAAAAATCTAACAAAAAAGTTAAAAAATATATATATATACTAATAGAATATATATATATAACTAATAGAATATGTCGTTTTTCTAAAAAAAAAATCATCTCTAACTAATGGAATATCGCTAATGTTTATACGGTTTCCGATTTCTTATGATTTAGTATAAATATCAACTATTTTTTTCTAATTCTCTCACAACTTTTAAAATTGTCTAACTTCTTCATTCTTCTTCATTCTAACTAAAAATTCATGGAGTCATCAGGTAAACATATACTAATGTTTTTCTAAAAAAATATTAACATATATTATATATCTTTATATAAATCATGTACATATCATTCTACTTTTGTAGTTGTCAACAACCGTTTTTCAAATTTAATAAAACGGGAAATTTAATAAAACATTAAAATGCAAAGATATCTAACAAACAAAACAAATAAATTTAAAATAATATTAGATTTAAAAAAAACAAATTGAAAATTATATTAGTTCGCGCAAGAGGCGGAAAAATTCACTAGTTTCCATTAAATAAGAAGATCATGAAATAAATAAAGGAAATCTTATTCCTCTTTGGTCACATGTGAACTTCTCCCAACAATAGTTTTGTCTCTTTGTTACCATTAGATGTAGGTAACGTGAGATCGTTGAAGAGGCATTACGCTAACACGGAACTAACCGGTATGAGATGTTTTAAATCGAATCAAAACACCAAATTGAAGATACGTTTGAGTATAGTTTGTCGATAATGGAGAAATGGTATTCTATTGTTTAGGAACGTCGTCTTTTTGTTTATTTTTGCTGTGTTTGACGGTGGCACAAGTATGTCAGGAGAAAAATCTATAACAACAGGATCAGAGAGAGATATGCTAGAGAAGAATGGCCAAAACTACCCACATAATCAAATAACTTGAGAACGAACTCATGATTCCAATATCGCTTATGGGCTATGGGCCTAAAGCCCATTGAAAGGTAATAAAGCCTTTAGCGGGTAGGTAACTTCTACTTCTGTCTTCCGCTTTCTCGACACTTTTATTTCGACCGTCCGATTCGATTAACTGGCGCGAATCAATGGCTCCAAAGTAATGGAAGACTGACGAATAAAATAAACGTGTGGAGTGGTGAGTGAGAATTACAAACTCAATTCCAAATCTCCCACAAACTCTCCAATTAAAAAACAATGAGATTCCAATTTCATAATTTTCCCTTTTTCCAAATCCAAAAATTCACCGTTTTCGCTCACAGAATCTGATACCGAAGAGAAGCAAAGCAATACTACAGGTATCAATCTCCTTTATATTCTTCTGATTCTTGTCTAATCTCTTTTTTTTTTTCCTTCTGGTTTTTACTTTGTTTTTCTTTTGTCTCGCTTGTGGTTAAGTAAAGAATCTGTGTCTTTGCTTTGAAATGCTATATGTATGTTCTAAACTTTTTTTAATCTCTCCCTCTCGTTTTTCCTTTGTTGTTAATGCTAATAAACCAAAACAATCCATAAATTCAAATCCGTGATGTCTCATCATGCGTTTCTCGCCTCTGCTTTTTCTTCACTTTTTCTCGACATGAGTTTATCAGATTGTTGTTAAGAGTTTGAAATCACAAATCGGAAGTAGCATAAAACTCAGAAATTCAGAAAATTTACAGAGAGTTTTTTTTTGAAAACGATGATGATGATGATGAAGAATGTGTTTAGCAGAATTGATCTCTCGAGTTTCGTGACAGGTTCAACTGAGCATACGTGGCAACCAACAATGTCTGCGGAGACGAACATACCAAGTTACTGGCTAAACTGGAGATTCTTCGTCTGCGCCATCTTCGTCTTAACTTCGCTGTTCCTGTCTTCTTTCCTCATTTGGAAATACGAAGGGCCTCGAATACGCAGGAAACGCGAAGGAGATGATCAAAAGGAGCTATTAGGAGCTGTGTACGATGATGAAACTTGGAACACTTGTGTGGAAAAGATTCATCCGAATTGGTTGCTTGGTTTCCGAGTTTTCGGTTTTGTTGTTCTTCTTGGACTCATCTCTGGTAATGCCATTGCTGATGGAGCAGGCATTTTCATCTTCTACACACAGTGAGTAGCTCCTGATTATTGTGTAGACGGTTTCTTACATCATAGTTGTTCTGATGAGTGTTGTGTTGTGTTGATTGTTTTTTATCAGATGGACTTTCACATTGGTCACAATTTACTTCGGGGTATGGCTTTTCTTCACCTTTTCATGGTACTGCACATGCTTTATCTGCAACCTGCATTATATCAACTCCAATTCAAGTTTTCTGTATAAACTATGTGTCTTCTAGTTCATTAGTAACTTTGATTAGATGTGTTTCTGTATGGAATCTGAGGGTTTGATGAGTAACATTTCCTGAGAAAATCGGTTTTTCAAGAACTTGAATTGGAGTTGATATAATGCAGGTTGCAGCATTGGTGTCCATATACGGATTTAGATCAGGTGAGAACTGTCAGAACGGAGTCAGTACATTAGATGAAGAGCAAGGCTCGTATAGGCCTCCCGTGGATGGAGAAAACTCGAATGTGTTTAAATCTTCAAACAGACACGAGAGACACAACAGGTCTACACGTCAGATGGCTACTACATTGGGTTACATACTTCAGATTCTTTTCCAAGTAAGTCTTCCTGGTTTTGATGTCAGACATGTTAAGTTCTCTGTGTCTGAACATTGTTATTGGATTGCAGACTTGTGCAGGAGCTGTGTTGCTTACAGATGGTGTGTTTTGGTTCATTATCTACCCTTTTCTCACATCCAAAGACTTCAATCTCGACTTTGTAAGTTTAAAACCGCAAAAACTATCACAGTTTGTAAGTTGTCTCTGATATATGCTTAAGTTCTGACCAAACGTTTATATCGCAGTTCATTGTGATTATGCACTCGGTCAATGCTGTTTTCCTCCTTGGCGAAACTTTCCTGAACTCTCTGGTTAGTTTTTATGCTTAGCCAACATAAAATCATGATGATGATGATTATAGTGATGATGATGACTTTGATGATGATTTCCATGTATCCAGCGATTCCCGTTGTTTAGGATTTCGTACTTTGTGGTATGGACCGGCATATTCGTGCTATTTCAGTGGATTGTTCATGCTTGTGTCTCCTTCTGGTAACAGTCATGGTTTTATCCTGCTTTACATTATTCTATGAACAGATTAGTATAACAAATGTGATATCTGTTTGTGCAGGTGGCCATACCCATTCTTGGATTTGTCATCACCCTACGCCCCTTTATGGTACGCTACACAAACTCATTGGCTCCCATTCCTTATATCGATTATGAGAAATTGTGCCACCAAATTAATGTAGAGATCAAACTCAACTTCCGGTTATCCAAATTTGCATTCGATTCTGGAGATGTAGACAATGTAAATGATTATTGATCTTGAATGGAGTTAAGAGTACATAGTAATGTTAATTGATGTTGCAGGTATGCTGCTGTTGGGTTGATGCACGTACCATGCTTTGGAATCTTTGCTTTGATCGTGAAGTTGAAGTACCTGTGGCTCTCAAGATGTTTCTCAGAAGGAACATAGTAACAAAGATCATATATACTCGAATGGTTATAGTATCTCTCAATTCTTGAACAGATTTCAAAGTAAAAAATTACATAGTCTCATGTACAGATACAGCCGTACAGGTTTTCTCCTGCCTTCTGTATCAATTTTTTTGTATATTACATTCATAATTCCTTTTGAAGGAACATATAAATCACTTAGCTAATCACCATGTTTTTTTTGGAGGGCTAAAAACACGTAAAAATGTTCTTTTGGTGGTAAGTTTTTGTGTTTCAAGTCCTAACTCCCACGTATCGTGTGCAACGAATTATGTTTCATTTTAAGGCGGTTTAAATCCGTTTTCTAACCATCTAAAAAATTTGTTGTTTTTTTTTACCGCCAATTTCAACCGTTTCCATAGCTAAGTAGCCAGCAATATTAATCAAGGATCAAAGTCAGCATGGTCGCTTTTATTTCCCTAGAAAGAACAAATTATTTTAGTAAGCAAAATGCCAAAAACAATTTAAAAAAAGAGCAATTCAAGCCTGGTAACTATTAGTTAGATATATATTGATTCAGGTTTATCGAATCTGATTTTGAGTTTTATTGTTGATTCACGGCTTCGCAAACAAAAACAAAAACAAAAGCAACAATAATGGACAAGTCAAGATTCTGTTTAATTTGATTAGAGATACAGTATAATAATATTGGACAAGATTTGAAAGGGAGATGCTCTAAGTTCCACAGATCCAATTTTAATTAGAATTAGATAACGAATATTATTTTTCCTGATAAGGTAATTAATCATATCTTGTCTTTCCCCCACCGCCAATTAATCATATTTAGATCTTGTATGGTGGACTATTTTTCAACTTTAAAAGAAGCATCATGTTATTCAGATTATAACAAAAATATACTATTCAGATTAGAACAAAACTTTATATTTTTATCTAAATATGGCTAACGAGAGAACATATTTGTCCGCTTTGACTTGAAAACAATGTCCACTGTGACACTCGCTGTGTGAGAGGGCTGATAGGAGCCCATTTTCATTTTCGCTGTTGAACCCGATCGAGTCTTCATACACGTCGAAATTTTATTTTCTAATGTTTAATAGCCATTTCATCTTTTAAAATGGCCATCAATCATCTTCGATGTACATGTTCACCCTTTGGTTAA